TACTCAATGGGACCTGGCCCCAGTTTAAACAATGTCCTGCATACATTTAAAAACATCCCCAACTTATTTAGATGGGCAAGAAAATCTAGGTATGACAGCAGCTGTCTGAAGAACATTGCATTTTGTTGGAACTGATCCTTGTCCCAGAAACTTTTCTGTATAACCATGTAATGATGATGAGCTTGACATGACGTCCAAGTAAATCACCATGGACTTATCAATATGCAGAATGTTAAACTCCTATTTCCTCTAGTTTTCAGTGAAACAGAGATATTGTTGGCAATCAGGATCAGAAAGTCACATGCAGAGCTGTCACAGCATTGCTGCAACCCAGGGAAGCTGGCATTTGGATGGAGTCCATGCTCCTTTACCAAATCTTACCTATGTGTACTTGAACAAGAATCAACATAGCTATCACCAACTTAAGCGATTAACTGAGAGTATTAAACAGAAATGTGTGAAAGACCAGATCCAGAAATTTCACATGTTACCATGCACACACAAGAAAAAAGTTATTAACACCTTTTGTATGACAACTGGTTGGGATGGTAGATAGAGAAAGGGATGTTCTGTTGAAAATGTAAGGATTCTTTCAGCGTGATTTTAACCTATTTGCAGGAATTGTGCTTATGATGCAATAGAGGTAGGCTTTTCAAAGGAATTATATTCATTTACAGGCCCCATGACAGAGCTGGTACATTGAAGCTATATACAAAAACAACAACAACAACAAACTCCAACCATTTCGTTTTCTGTGAGCAGTGGGTTTCCCCCTACCCTCTCCTTCAACTGAGTCACAGCCATCACAACTTCTGGCCAGATCTGGACCACTTCCAGGAAGAGCTGTAGCCTCTCTTTGGCAGCAGAGTGGATAACATGGATGTAGGTAATAGCCTGTATCACACCCAGGTTGCACAGGTCTCTGTCTGTCTGCCTTGCTGCATTCTCGAGGGCACTACTTAATATCTAGATAAATATAGGTAGATATATATAAAGAGAGAGGAAGCTCACCTGGTTATATAATTTTACATTAATTTCAAACTGTTTAAAAAGCTTGAAAACTCACATCAGTATCATTTTTTTAATATGCATATGTGTTGACTCCGTTGACATGAGACTGGGCTACTGTCTGTAAGGAGAGTGGACATAAACTTTTGAGGCAATGTCAATATGTATATTACTTGTAGTATTTCAAAATGATTTTAGTTAATGAAATCTTCCATTAAAGTAAAAGAGATTTAACACTTTTGTATACCAAACTTTGACAACATATCTATTGTGTCACAAGAAACTGTGCATTCATTTCAGAATTCTATTTAGCACAGTTAAATTTGTAGGTTATCAAGCTTTACATCAAATACAAACTATTTCTCTCCTTATTAAGGGAAGTTTGGGGATCTACACACCAGATTAACGTACAGGAAACAGGTGAAACACATTTGGGATTACACTTTGTCAGTAAAGTACAGATTCTTGTACTTTTTATTGGGTCCCATCAGAGATTTGAACCCACACACTCAGAGTTAGGTTCTAATAGGTACCTGACTCTGAGAGTATGGGTCAGAATTTTGGATGGGACTCAACCCAACAAAAGGCACTAGAATCTGTACTTTACTGAGAAACTGTAATCCTAAATATAATATGTGTTACATCTGATCACTTTCTACTTGTCATTGTGCATTCAGGAAACAGATGAGGAGGAAAATACACAATGGTTCTCATGAGCAGGGAGACAGTAAACTACAATGCCTACCTCACACACATCCATACTCCCAGGATACATCGTATGTAGAAAATCTCTGAGATATGCTTTGAACACAAAGGTTTTCTCCTCTTCATCAACAACTGATGAAAGCACTTCCCCAAATGCAGTTTTGCTAATGAGGTCACTTACACAGGTCAATAACTCAGTGGAATCTGAAATTCCAAGAGGAATCAGAGGGAAATCAGTTCAAGTCATATCAGGAATGCTGAAAGAGTTAAACACACAAGTTTCTGTAAAACTCTGGAAATGGGTCATCTGATGCACACAAATTACTTAACTTAACATTAGTCTTTCAAATAACGTCTCTGAAGATGATGTGACATGTCACCTACTGGAAATTAAATACAAATCAGGCTACGAACATAATGTGAATTAAACATAAATAAGATGTGCTTAACAGAAATGAGTGATTGATCTACCTTCATCCACTGACCGCTCTGTATTCTCTGCCTCTGCAATGGCATTTCTTATGTCTTCAAAGAGAAGCCAGAAAAATGGCATATGCACAGCAAAAACCTGTTTGTTGACTCCCAAATGATGTGGCACAACTTCACCCTGGCGGTGTTGATTCTCTGGGGCAATAATGTTTTTACACTGGTAGTAACATACTTTTGTATTGTCAAGCAGGGCAAACCAAAGTCTTCTCTTCCATGGTGCTTCTTCTGGTAAACACAAGTCAAGATTTCTGTTGGTGTCTAGGAATGCCACAACTCCAGCTAATATTGGTATGATCTTATTCTCCAGGCACTGTGAAGTGGCACGTCTAATAACAGAAACAGTCATTGCACTCACATTGAAAGTTTTGAGTTCCAGAAACAGTTTAGTATATTTAACATGAACTCTCTGTGAGCCTTACATGTGACATGTGTTGCAGAAAATTATGAGCTTCTAATAAAATTTGATATGTTAAACACTATTCAATGTCACATAAACAATTATATGAAGGTCAAAATCATTAAATCAGAACATGTATAGACCCACAACCAACAACACCAAATTTCATTCAGTGACTGTATTCAAACCCATGCATCATGAATGGTCCTATCTGACAGATGGCCAAGGCAAGATTATGCTTTGTCAGTTAAGATGGATGATCAACATAAAGAAGTTGATTGAATCAAGATAATTCCCTTTCAGCATCTCTAGTTCATAGGGAGTGATTTTCAAATTAGTCCTAGGCAAGATTTTTTCCCTCCTGAAAGGTGGGACAAGCTCCAAAAGAAGAACCCTTCAGCTCTGCCACCAGCTATGTTACTTACAGCAGTGGAAGAAGTCTCAGGCCTACTGCATCAGCTCAGGCTGTCACAGAGCTAATAGACGATTTAAGGACCTTTACTATACACAGAAGGGATTCTTCTACTAGCAATTTCTTTGTTGTGAAGAAAAGATCATGTGGTAAAGACGTTTGATTCCAAGTTAGTCAGTGCTACATACAGGGGTCTGTCATTAAAGTTACCTCCTTCAATGATGTTAATTAAGTCATGGTTAGTCCTTACAGTTCACTGATCATGCCATAGGTATGCTAAGATTCTGTGATGAGCTTCTTGAGTTGATTGTTTTGTGCTTTGCATATGATCACAAACTCAAGTTATTCTGCGTTATGAATTCCAAACTTTTTCCTATTGGGGTACTGAGTGAGTTTGATGTATGTCTCATTGTTCTAATTATGTATGATTCTGCACGCACCTCCATTATGGATAAATGCAGTATGTGAGATTAAAAAATGTTTCAAAGTTTATTGATATCTAATGAATTATTTTTTTTACATCTCACATTGTTTACTCCTTCATAACTGACTGCACCTCAAATTCCTAGCCATAAAAGAGAAGATTTGCATGGGGGACAGTGCTGGCCTTGCCAAGAGCTGCATGTTTGTTAATGCTTCTATCTTACTTAAAGGTCACATGCAACCAAAAAATCAAACATAATTGAAACACAATTATCACTTATTCATGACATATAATATACATTGCTGGTTATGAAAAAACATAAAAACAAAATTATAAGAGTACAATCGCAAATCAAAAGTGCAATATTTTGTACTTGGGTTTACTTCCATAGAAACAAAGCAGCCGGGATACCGAACCCAGTCAGAGCGGGTGGGTGTGCACTCAAGCACGGCTGGTTCATTTGCAGATGCCCTCACAGCTCATTGTGTGTGTATATAGAGATGTTGGGTTTTGTAAATACATGCTCATTTTTTGTGTATAACATTTTGCAATCAACAGACATCATAACATGTCATGTGTACAAGTATCACACCTGCCTGTCTGTGTAATTACATAATGTGACAGAGACCGAACTCGGGCCATAAATCAATGCGTTTTGTTTATGGTGTATAGCCTGATAGGTGTTAAGTTCAAATTGCATGTGGTCAGTGATTGAAATTGTGTATTGAATATTGTCATTAGCAGATGGGCAGGCAGACACATAGGTGCCAAAAAAACAGACATTGAGTTTTGTCTGTGACAACCACATATCTATATCACAGTTAGAAATTCTGTCAACGCTAAATAATGACATTGCTTTTAAGTATCGAACTGAGAAAGTGTCTCGGTAAGAAGAACGTGTGGTGAAACAAACAAATGAAATCATATAAACAGTTAAATCGGTAATCTACTGTAATAACATATAAAAAAGCTCGCGCCTGTGAAATATCAACAAGACATTAGAAAAATAGCTCACACCAAAGCCTTCACCGAATATTCACCAGACAACCCGCTTCCATGCTCCGCGAACCTATTTCACTGCGCATGTGCTATGAGCACAGCCCAGCTGCTGAAACCACTTCAATTCCTCCCAAGCGCTTGGGGAAAGTTGGTGAATCGTTTGAACTACGATTTCCCGCGGGGTTTTTTCATCGCGTTATTTTTCAACTTTATAAGTTGAATTTGCATGTTTGATGATTTGTTTCAGTAAGTCCACACCGAAAGGTATCAGAATCTGCAAAGTTGTGTTTTACATTGCATGTGACCTTTAAGCAATGTATTGTTAATTGTTAACTGGTTTCCCAGTGCTATTGCAGTCCAAATCCCCCTATGCTTCTCAATTCTTATTCGGTTAATCCCTTGCTGGATAATGGTGGTAGAACCTACACTGAAATGTCACTCCCACTATATCAAAGAAGTTGTTTATTCATGTATGTTATCTTTCCTCACTGCACTAACTTCTAAATGCCTCCCAAAGATGTTACCTGTGAAATAGCAAACCAAAACGTTATTTTAAACACAAAGAATACACTAGAGTCACTGCCATTGACAAATTCTCTCTATATAACTATACATCAGCAGAGATATGAAAGGGAATGACTGGATTGAAGGAAGCAGGATTGTGCTGAAGACTTGTAGAATGGTTCGTTATAAATGAGTTGTGTTTGTTTGGGTGTCACAGGATCGGGAACATGAAGAATGCTCAACATTTCATTTCAACTCAAGAGTGTGGTAAGCCCTAATACTTTCCAAAGTGTTACACTTTGAGAGAGAGTAGTTTGGTACTAGTAATTGTTTTTGTAATACATGATTATTGCCAAGTTTGAAAACATACCTGAAAGTTCCTGCTTGTCTGACATGTTCTTGCTGAGCTGCTTCTTTAGCAAGCCAGTTTGAGGGCAAAAACCTGCTGTATAATTTTTCTTTTTCCTTCAGAAGGCAGATGATAAGTTGTGACAACCCTGTCATGAACAGTCTGGCATCTGAAAACAGTAAAACATATCTACAAGAAACGATTCTCTTTTATTTACCAACTGTCCATGGTACCATACTAAGGGTAACAGACCAAGACAGTAGATGATTTGGCATTTAAGAATGTTCATAATCCTACACATCACAACAGTCTGACAGATCACTCTCAGATATTAGTTAATAATCAACATGAATATTGAACTCTGATTTATTCAGAGCATGGCTGTTGATCAGTATCAATGTTACCAATTTGGTTTCTCCATACTGTCCTTTATAAATATCCATGATATTGGCTTTCTGCAGGTTGCCATAGTCTGAGGCAACATAACAATCTTTCACACCTATGCTCAGGCCAGATGAAAACAATTACAAATCCCAGAGTACTTTGAGCAAATGTTACATTTTGGAGAGAAAACCTGACAACAACTGAATACATTCATTCACACGGTAGTTTCAAACTTACATCATGTATAATGTTAAGTATTACATGGAACATTTTGGCTTGAGTACATGAAATCAAACAGAAGCAGCACAAGTGTTTGCCACTGACATGGCAATGTCCCCCGCCGCTAAAGAATGGAATATTTATAACATAATTACTACTTTTTATTTTTTGGTCACATACAAGATGCCTGAAATGACTGGTGTCTGCATAATCACCCAAGGTAGGCTGTCAACATAATTGAAGACATTGGGTGCAATTTTTTATGAGATATCACGTTTCAATAAGTTTGAAAAGTGGTCAAAGTTTCATTGTGACCTTGAACATAATGTCAAGGTCACCCAAATCCACTAGTGTCTGCGTAATCCCCCAATGTAGGCTGTCACCAAATTTGAAGACATTGGGTACAACGGTTCATGAGATATCGCGTTAAAAAGAATCATACAGACGGACGCCGCTGAATACATCATACCCCGTTCCGCGTTGCAGCGGGGGACAATAAAACCCATCATCACTGATCCCTGAATATGACAACAAAACCTATTGAAAGTATGTGATTCAAGCATAGCCACATCATTTATCACCGCCACCTATGATACATTTGTTATGGCGACAGACAAACAGTGAAATTCCAAATTCTAAACCTGTAAAGAACAAACATAATTTGAAAAGGAATTTTCAGTATCTATGTTCTAACACACTAAACTGTAAACATTATTCTTATACAATCTTACCTTCATCATCTGTGTTGTCCAATAGTTTCAGAAGTATTTCTATCCTTTTGGTCGAGCGTTTGGTGTCCAGTTCTTCATCCCTGATGAGAGCAGCAGCAGGCTGGATGCAGGGCAAGAGCAGTTTTTGGAAGAAGGGAGCAATAGAATGTTTCCTTTCATCTATTTCTAGCTCAACGTCCTCAATTTCAACCATATCACCTCTGTGTTTTTCATTGTCTTCCCCCAGATGTTCATGTGACAGTTCCAGTCTCTGATCACTGGCATTCTGTGATGAATTCAATCCTAACAAGTCTCCACGAGCCCCTGGAGCCTCTTGTCTTAGGTATAAACTATGTTTCTGCTCCAATGACCTTGACTCTGCTTCTTGATGTTCCTCTGCGACTATTTGCATATTCAAATTTTCTCCATCTGGTAAAGGTTCTTCCCACAGCAGGTCATGCTCAATGGTTGTAATTCTCTGCTCCAATGGCTGAACACTTGTGGGTGGCATATTGCTACTCAGTCCCTCAAAAATAGATGCTGGGGAGTATTTATGTAATTCATTCATTGAAGGCATGTCTTGTGTGGATTGTCGTAGTTCATCAAGATGTAATGAGTGCCACTTTCCAGCCTGTAATACAGTTTATTCAAATAATTAGGCCACTGTCCTGCATAACAGTTATATACATAATTTACACTTTTGTTCTTGAGTACCTAATAAACAGATTAATCACAATATACACTTATGTAATCTTAAATACTTATCTGTATATACTTATGTTATCTAGTGTAACAGAAAAGTAAAAAAGTCCCATGGTATTGTAGCCAAGAAGTACCAATAGTTCCACCATATACTGCTAGTACACACCGATTGAAATAGTTTATAATTATGTTCCTGAGTGTATTACCTTGATAGTGATTTTCACATCTGAACAGCCATGATACAACAGGAATCAACTCATCAATAACTGACTGTAAAATGCACTGTTTTCACGCCACATGTTACCTTAAAGTCATCTTAAGTGTATGAAGATAACACCCAGAATTAAATGTAAGCCACATCTTCATCCAGTAAGTTTTATGAAATTCAAATCATCAAGACTAAGGGTGTTATTTTGAATTTTGATACCAAGTGTTTGAGTGATCTTGGTTTCCATGTCAACCAATCACATGTCAGCAGTACCAGCAGCACAGAACTTTACAGGTATATTACACTGTCCATACAAAAATTAATCAGGCTGAGACACTCCAGAAATTGCCATATGAGTAACATGACCAAGTAATTCTAACATATGCTATATTTGGGATTATACTTTCTCAGAAGTGAGTGAGTATGGTTTTATGCTGTTTTTGGCAATATTCCAGCAATATTCCAGCGAGGGACACCAGAAACGGGATTCACACAATGTACCCATGTGGGGAACCAAAACCCGGTGTAACAGGCCAAACTTTCCCCCCTGGCCAAACCTTCAATGGAGAAACTTTAACTAAATATTCAGTTTTTACTTGGACGTCCATATCCATTCAAAATTTTATTCCCTCACTCATGGCTTTAAATATGGCATATACGTTTGGCATCCACAGTTGGAAGCAGACGTAACATCAACACAACAACAACAACAACAACAACAACCTAACACAATTTATATATCAAATGCTATATCATTTATCATTCCACTATAGTGACTTATTCTAAATTCAAAAGACAAGGTTTGGTAAGGGGTATACCATGGATATCTGAAACATATTTCATTCACCAAAAGTGATTATGGATTAGTAAACAAGCTTATGTGAATAATGTTCCATTACATCTATACATAAATACAACAAATATGAGATAATAAACAGCATGATAAGAGACCAAGCAACCTGTGTATATTACATCTTATTTACCCATCAAATGTGAGATTAAATGTTTACATCTCATGGTGATATGATTTGGACAGGTGAAGAACTAATGCAATGTGTCTTCATAGGAATGGCGGCAGGAGCAGGATGGATTTAGAGATACATGGCGTTCAAATATGTATGCATTCAAATCAGTACACCCAGAATATGTGCACCAATATTTAAGTAAAAACTACTGCCAGTTTGATGTTTTAACCACTAGGCTACACAACCACCCCTACTTTCTCAGTTAGTGTCTATGCAGTTGGTTGATGCATGTCATGTCACCACAAATGTCAGCTAGCCAAATCCTGTTAGTTGCCTTTTATGACAAAAACTGGTAGCTGAAGACCAATTCAAACTTGGATCTTATGGGTCATGAATGAGGTACCATATAGTTGTGGGATCTGGGTCAATTTTGAATATTGACAAAGGTTTGAAAAACGTATCAATGATAAATTAATGACCATGACATATCATACATACCAATAAATAATGTCGCATTTGATTTTACTCAACGCTACTACTATTCCAACTAAATTGGACTATTCCTGACAAATTCATTTGAAACAACTGATACAATTGGAAGTACTACATAAAAAACAGTATAAAGTGGAAAATGTTTACTTGGTTTAAAAATGAAATCAAACACACATCCATGAAACAAACCAAAAGGAACAATAATTGTATGACATTTAAATGTTAGCAAATGTAAGAATTAAATTTTGCTACCAAAATATTTTCTGCGCAAATATCAATAAATATAAAGCAAATAACTAACTATCCAAAATGTTTCTAAATCTGCAAGAATGAGGTTTATAATACTGTTGTATTTAAGTTTACATGACCCAAACACTGAGCCACAGCCATACAATTCTTTGAACCATTTCACAAGAGATTGGAAGAAAACCTTACATGATCTTAAGAGAATCACACATGCCAAAGTTAAGTTTTCTCAGTCTCACAATTTTGGAAAAAGAGGTCTACAGAGAAAAGAGGCATTTGTTTGATAACATAAGTATATATTATCACAATACATTAAACATTGCTGAGGAGCAGCAGCCCTAATCAGGTCAAAATACCTATTTTGGTGGCCATGATAATTGATCTCAAATCTCTAGAAGTAATTCAATCTTAGGTGAATAATAGTGTTAAATTCTAGGTTCACTGTTCCAGGGGTTTCTGCAGTGATGATGATGAGATATTGAGAGAACTGAACAGAAGGATCATAATACATGTATGAATATCAAATCAAGTTTCATAGGTCCAGTTGTTTCTGAGGTGAAAATGTTTATGTCATGCATGGCATGATGAATACAAGGGAAAAAAGGCAATGACTACACTACATATATGACACTTGATTCATACCTGAAAACCAGAAAAGCACCCTCCAGCAATATTAGGCAGTTGTATGATGAAGACTACAGCAAACTGTCTTGCATCATGCAGCTCATCCAGAACACAGTACTGGGCACTCCTGATGAGAGACTGGTTCCTGTCTCCAGATCCACACTGAACTAGCAGCAGTTTCTGACCCTCTTCACTTCGCTGAACAAAGTTTCTGCAATTTGACAAGATTAATAGTTTCTGACCCCTACTACACACAGTTTACTGTAAACATTCAATAAGTTCTGACCTTCTACATTTCCAAAGATCCCAAAACTGGAATGAATTTATAGTGAAAGGTAATCTGTTTGTGAACATTCAAATGGCAATCCTGTATTTGAAATACAACACAAATCAGCACACTCCTTTATAACCAAAGACAAAACAAACAAGCAAACAATAGTCATGCTGTTAGTAGTAATATCTTATAGTTGCCTAAATTGATAATCTGGCTAAGGGTGCTACCTAAAAGTCACCATTTAGAGTTATATCAGAGCAGCCCTGAAGGTATAAATCTGACCAAAGATTGCAAGTGTTTGGATTGTTTTTGAATGGATTCAATAGCCATGTATTCTCTTCTTGTGACACACTTCGGGTGCTGCCTACACTCGAATTAATTAAAAAAGTTGCAATAGCTGAAGACACCTACTTGATCTGCTGTGCAAATTGCTGCTCTGTGTCAAATGACTGCAGTGTGAGCAGGATGATATTGTTGGGAGTCACATTTAGATGTCTGCCCAGGTCCTCCTTTTCCTGGTCTGTCAGCAGCTTGGAGTGAGTTGTCACCTGTATGACAATAAAGATTCAATCAAATATACAAAGCTATGAAAACAACAATTACCAAAAATCTAAATACATTAAAAAAGGGGGCAAAGCATTATAATCGCTTGATCTATAGTCTGTATGTGTTTACTTTATATTGTTACCACTGGAAAACTGTCCCAGTCTATCAATATTGCCTATTAGTCTATCAGCATATGAATTATTCAAGCTGATTATGTCAAGTAACTCAAAGGGCTGTGACGTGTGGCAACTGGTATAGAGTGTGTAGATTGCACAGCTGAATATCTGAGGGCAATGGTGAGGGAGAGTGTGAACATGCTGGACCATGTCCTGGAGCTGTGAAAGGAACTCTACTCAATCATGTAGCAGATGGTGTGGGAAGAAACTCATTCCAGGCTGAATGAATAGGCCTCAGCCACATGCATTCTAGCTGTAAACAGCAGATCATCTTGCATGTGAACATGGAACACTTGGCTATCATTCTATTACAGTCAGAGAAGTGTGGATCACGCTGCTCCTCAACATGCTTCTGACACATGTGGGATAACAGCCTCTATTGTCATTCGACAAATTTAAATGAACAAATCATTTGACTGTTTCTCTAAGTCTAACTTGAGGAGATCATTTCTGTTGAATCTTTCCAAATACAAGAGTAGTTATAGAAACAATATCATGGAGTTGGGATTCAGAGCTTTGTATTTCCATGCCAGGTATACAACATCAGTCTACATCAAACTTGTTGCCATAGAAAAGGAAAACAACAACATATTCATAAGACCTCTAAATACAAAAGGCAAGAGCTGACAGCCTGGTCTTTCTGTGTGCAAATTCCATGAACAAATGCTTATTAGCTTTAGAGATATAAACCAGAAAACATGCATCTTTCAACAGTCAGTGTCAGACTTTTCACCATGGACATGGGAACAAGATAGATTTATATAATTTCCTACACAGTATAAAGCACAATTTTGGCTCCTGAATATATGTCCCAAGTTTGGATGAAAAATATTTAAAATTTGTTTAATTTGTTTCAGCTAATTCCACCCTTTTTTCCCATGGAAACGTGACTAAATATAATTGAAAAATATATCCATTCATTTGGTTACCTCCAATTTGTTTTGAAAAACGGTGAAGGTTTTTAGGTTATGATCCATAAACAAAATGACTATGGCTGTTAATTATAACAATTAGACATGTGTTTCATAATTGTCCTACCTGAGCTTGCAAAGTGAAACATCCCATGTCCAAGATTTTCTTTTTAAGATACTGGTAGATGTCATCATGTTGCTGACACTGATAGTAAGTTCTGTGGATACTTTCAGCTTCAAGATGGAGTTTCTGATCCGTCAGTCTTTCCACTGAGGCAGGAGTGGCACACCACAACAGTATCTCTTGACATTCATTGAAAATCTGTACCAAGAAAATACATAATATAAACACGGTCTATTAGCATAGGGTTTTGAATGAAAACGGAAAACAATCACAGTAATCTGAATGTGCTTCATGGATGAATATACAAGTAGATGATTGAATAATTATATTGGAAAGCCATTGCCAATGAAAACTTAATGTGAACCATCTTTTCTGAATATGTCACTTTATACATGATGCATAGAAATTGTCTCACTCACATCCTCATCCAAGGCCACAATATGATCCCTGCCCCAAACTTGTATCACAATGGCTGCAGCTGTGTCTGGATGGTAGCCCATGAAGGCATCTTCTGGAAGGTTCTCTCTTTTTCTCCTATGTTAACAAGATGTACTGTACTAGTACTAGATGTGCAGAAGTTCGATTTTAGTGATATCCCAGATAGCATTCGGACGCTGGCCCAACGTTGGCAATGTTGGCAAAACCATGGCCAACGTTGGGCCAACGTCTGAATGCTATCTGGGATATGGTGAGGTTCTGCTAAACAAGCCAATTTATCTTAAAGTCAAATTATTCTTTGGTCTTATAGCCTTATTAGTCATGCTACAATATACTTTTATGTGTTTTAAAATAATACTTGTGATATGATTCCAAATAAAGTACTAAATAAAGGAATTACACATGGTATATTCATTAAGAAGCAATATAGCACTCACTCTCTATCTTAAAAACACTTTAATGTATATTTATCTCATACACAAAATGACAAGATATTCAGTTAAACAGTCATGTCTCACTTTCCAGAAGTAAATGTTCTGGCAGTTACAAAGTCCACAGCCCACTGGTTCAGTTCCTCTGCCAGTTTCTTCTGCTCGGGTGACATCATGTTGTTAAGATCAAGGAAGTGTTTCTCCAGACGGTTGATCAGTGGGATCGGAAACTCATCATACACCTTCTGCTTCTCTGCTACAACAATCAGTCTGGAAACAAAACTCTGACATGATTAAATTAGAAGTGGCATGAATGGACTGCTACTTGGTAACAGGTCATTATAGAGAATGCAATACCAGGATCAGAACATGTGTTTGTGCAAAATTACATGAAGAACTAGTACCGGTATTATTGTAAAAAAGATTTGGTTCCCCGCTGGTAAAAGTTCCGGCGGAACTTTTCATTCCAACATTTGTTCCTGTAATAGTGCATGCGGAACAATTATTTCGTTCCGCACACACAGAATTTATTCCGGGTAAAGAGGAACTTCCACACACATCATAAAGTGTCTAAAAGAGGGTTTTGTTTGTTGGGGTGGTCTTAAAAATTGTGGCGTGGGGGGAACGGAAAGGACAAAAACATTTTCCTGCGGTATTTGTTCCATATGGCACAAATCATGTGGCTATCAAGAAGCAAATTATCATGTGTGAAAGTTACTTAATTTTTTTTATGAAAATACATTGTAGATTCCCCAGAATGCGAACTGATGATTCTAACTGAATCTTGTGTTAAAAAGAGTTCAGTAATTATGTAACCAAGTTACCTTCATTAATCAGGTTACAGTCAGTAGCCAGGTTACAGTCAACATGCAACCAAGTTACAGTCAGTCAGTAGCCAGGTTACAGTCATTATGTGACCAAGTTACAGTTGGTCAGTAGCCAGGTTACATTCAATATGTAACTAAGTTAGAGTTAGTCAGTAGCCAGGTTACAGTCAACATGTAACCAATTAACAGTCAGTCAGTAGCCAGGTTACAGTCAACATGTAACAATTAACAGTTAGTCGGAAGCCAGGTTACAGTCACTATGTAACCAAGTTACAGTCAGTCAGTAGCCAGGTTAGTGAACATGTAACCTAGTTACAGTTAGTCTGTAGGCAGATTACAGTCAACATGTAACCAAGTTACAGTTAGTCAGTAGCCAGGTTACAGTCGACATGTAACCAAGTTACAGTCAGTAGCCAGGTTACAGTCGACATGTAACCAGGTTACAGTCACTAGCCAGGTTACAGTCAACATGTAACCAGGTTACAGTCAACATGTAACCAAGTTACAGTTAGTCAGTAGCCAAGTTACAGTCAGCATGTAACCAAGTTACAGTTAGTAGCCAGGTTACAGTCAACATGTAACCGGGTTACAGTTAGTCAGTAGCCAAGTTACAGTCAGCATGTAACCAAGTTACAGTTAGTAGCCAGGTTACAGTCAACATATAACCAAGTTGAAGTTAGTAGACATCCCGGATGTTGACAAGTTGGATGAGTCCATTTTGCATTCAATAATGACTGGAATAGGTTAGGCCTACGGTATTTGTTCCTGTTCGACGGAATATTTGCCGTATGTGCGAAATTTTTATTCGTGTCATCCATTCTCAATTTCACGGCATTTATTCCGAACCGGAACATTTACTACTCGGAACTAAATCATGTTTACATTATCACTGATATTTCACAGTCACAAAATGAAAGAAGCAATTGTCATTAACTCTATTCCATCTGTTTGCTTTCATTGACCTCAGTTCCATTACTCTGTAAATTTCCATTTACAAGAAACAGAAATCTATTAAAAAATATGCAAAGCAGCATCCTTGCATCAGATCACGATCTGCTGATCATGAGTTTAAAACCCATGCATGATCATGATCCTTGTATCGCAGCACCATACAACTATCATCAATGTTACTTTACACATTAAGATAACCTATATAAAATTCTGTTCAAACCAGTGTTGAGCAAACACCTTCAATCAGTAAGCAAGACTGCAACAAGTATTAGCAGTTAAACCCCTGTAAATATAGCACCTACTTGAATTTCTGATGAACTCTGCACTTCACTCTGTGTGTGCCAAGCCCAAGATCAACAAAACGTTCACCTCCAAGTCGGGCATAGTACTGAAATCACAGAAGCGTTTGCAAACCAAATATGTTAAATGATCAATACAAACATGGTAACTGACAATCACTAATGATTATCAATAATAATATAATGTTGCCATTCATAGAATTTTGAACTGATAATTAACATATGGTGGTATCTCAAAGACAATGTTACCTTCATTCAGTACTACTTCTTTGAGAGGCATTTTAGAAGTTGTAAAGATGAAGAAAAACCAAGTTCTGTTCATTTACATACAATTGTAAACATTGAACAAAGAGTTCTTGAAAACAGTCTTACATTAGGGTTGCCAACTCCCATACTGAGGACATAACTGAGATGAAGCTCCTGTCTGCTAGTCATGCAGAGTTGAAATCAGCAATATTTGTATTAAATAACAAGTGAGCATGGCTCATTAATATCCCAAACATGTACTCCAACACCAGCTAAAGAACAATTTTGGATACATTGATGACTTAATGTTTGAGCCAGTTTCATGTAAAAAGCACAAAAACATAACATAGTTATGGCACACTTGGTCAGATACTGTACAATTGATTTGAGACTGATTAATATTTTGACCTTAGATTATTTTGAAGAATGTTGACATATTTGTATATATATCTGTATATTTGCACTGACATTATCTAACGGACATCTTCTAAATAACAATATCTTCATTCTTGCCTGACAACAGTACAAAAATCTGTATTGAAAAGTCGCACTCACGAAATAAAGAAGTTGTTGTACATAAAACATGACTATATTGTAAATAACAAGTTTCTCTGACCTCTGGACTTTGCGTCTTTGCATTACATGTATACTTCTAACCTTAATGGCAAATACCATATCTTATACATTGGGAAAAGGTCCTTGAATAACTCTCTAGAAAATTGGATGGAAGTTGTTACCAGAGAGACTTTCTCATTATTAGGCAAGCAGGCTAATGCTTCACACTGGTTGTCACTGATGACTATGTCTCAGACAAAGAGCATCAGACAAACAGGTAACTGCATGATATTACAGATCACACAAATGTAAGTCCAAAAACAGCTGTAGTTTAAAAAGAATTCTAAATATGAACATCACAATTTGCACTGCAGCTCTCCTATTATTATAGAAAGTGTCCACCAGGTTTGAAAAGAATCTACACAGTAGTTTTCAAGTTATAGGTTGCACTGATAGCTGGATGGAAGGTTGAAAGGAAGTCCCTAGTATAACTATATACCCCCACCCATTAGGTCAGTGATATAATTAAATATTGTTTAGCAACATATTACCTGACTGAGACACTATAGCAATGGCGATACACCATTTGAACTCACATGGTTCAAAGTGTGCATACTCCTGTTCACCTCCACAATGTGAAATTAATTTTTGATAAATTAATATTTCCAAGATTAGGGGATGCCAAGTTAACTGTGATGTACATTTTAGACATTTTATGCTACCAGTTACATTGGGGATTCCCCATGAAAAGTAGGTTGGGTAAAAAATTGTGGATATCTCACTTTCTTTAATTTTGTATAAACATGAACAGGTGATGTGATCAGCAAATATACCAATCAAATCACCAGAAATCCCTAAAATTAAAGAGTAAGAACTTCTCTTTGAATTTATTCTGAGAAGCCAAAAATAGTGATAAATCACCTGGTTCAGTGCATCATAGAGACTCTCATACAGATTTTCCAGGTTCAACAGAATGACTGTGCTGCCAGTCTCCATGCACACCTTGATCCTGTTGATGTTCCGACACACCTGTAATACAATTTCAAATATACTAAGAAATATACTTTAGAAAAAGAGCTTGAAGAAATACAGCCATACACATTGATTACCATGACATAATCTGGTTTATTTGAAGATTGTACAGATTTGGAAAATGATGTCATTTCATGCAAAAATATTCCGAATTTCACTTTTCCTGCAATACCATGCATACATCTTGTTTATGGAATTGAAGAATTATGTTTTGCTAGTCCAAACACTGACTTTCCATCAGTATCTTGTGTAACCTCTCTGCACTGATTTAAGATGCATCCTCATTCCTTGGGGCAATCTCCAGATTTGATTCTGAGGAACCCTGTTCTATTCCTCATGGAAAGCATTAGTCAATTCATTGACAGTCTGGACAGGTGGGTCTTTCTGTTGAACACTATGGCCTAAAATATCCCACAGATGTTCAATGGGATTGAGATCTGAGCTCATGGGATGGTTTCAAAAGCATTCTGTTGCAACAACTGGGTGACAGCACATACTCCGCGAGGAAAGTCATTGCCATTTATATAGATTGGTCTAGTGGCTTTGTTATCAAAATATCTGTTGATACCAAGGCCCATTAAGGTTACCACAAATGGTCTATCTTGCAACCTAACGAAATGCACCCCTATACCATAACTGACCCTTCCTGAAAGGGAACCATCCCCTTAATATTGTGGGGAACCAAAGCTGTGTTCCTTTGTCTCCAGACACATGTACGACCATCTACCATGTGCAATAACAAACGACTTGCATCAGAAAAGTGAGCCCTCCGCCATGATGCAATATTCCAGCGAATATGTTGATTACACCAGGCAAGTCACGCAGCTTTGTGAACTGGAAACAGCTTTTATACACTTGATGGTTCTTCTGGCCGTATATCCTGCTGCTTCCAGCCAATTCCTGGCAGACCTGTAGGAAATGGCTCTCCCTGGTAACCACTGTTGCTTTAATGATGTGCTTGAGTCCCAAGGAATGTCACCTAACATGTCTCAACAATGCTCTGTCCTCTTATTGTTATCTTGGAAGGTCTTCAACAAGGTTGGTTGCCTTGTGCTTGTTCAAGAGTCTTGGAAGGATTGTGCCTAACTTGATGTCTAATCTGTCTGAGGGACATTTGTCATGAAGATGTGCCATGACAATTATGGTACTGAAAATGCAATCCATTTTCTATTGGTCACAGCTACCTTATGTGAACATTGCTTTTGAAAACTTGTCATTTTCCATTTTTTCAACAAACCTAAATCCAAATGTAGTCAGATAAAGTGGCCAAAATTTCACGTAAATAAAAAATAGAAATAGCTGAAAGACAAACTAGTTTCCACAACAAAAAGAAGTCAATCTGACCTGAGTATATTCCTGGTCCTTGGGAAAACTTGAGCCAAAGATTACAATGACTTTGTGTCTTGCTAAAATCTCTTGCTGCAAGATGCTAAGAGCTCCATAGTTCTCTGTCAACAGCAGCAGGTAACGGCTCTCACTGAATGTGAAAAACATTTTGATCAACACCTGAACTCTTAAATGATGGAAGCAATTTGTTTGTACTTAAAGTGCTGTAACACCAACAGTTGAAGATGTAAAAAGACACAAATTAAAAGTTGTTGATATCACCAGTTTTCAAATACTTTCTGCATTTATAGTATTAACAGAAAAGAAATGAAGCCATAACAAACATCTCAAAAGTGTTTATCTACAACCATAATTCATTCAATTATTTCCTATAGTTCCACAACAGAGAAGCATGGTATACTAATAAGCCACTAGTTATCATTATTAAATAAACATTCTGCATGTTGAATTATACAATACATAAAGACAATAACTAAATGTTGACCTGCTTGCAATGTCAGTAGACAGACCAGCCTCTATAAGTTGAATAGTGGTTGAGTCAGGATCATCAACATGTTTCTGTTTAAGAAAACAACAAGTTGTCAACTATCAATGTATCAAATGTAGTATTTGATATTTTATACAACCATTACCATTACAGTCATTTTTTTTAACAAAGGTTGTTTGTGAAATACTATAACAGCACAATGTAACATTACTTTCAACCACTTTTAAAATATAATGTTTTCCTATAGCAAAGTAGCAATAGATTCATTATTTTACCTCTTCATGCTTTTGAACTGTAGTGATGCTGTCCTTGAACACAACAACTGGGTCCAGGTTGTCAAGGCCACCAAAGTTCCTCTTGATAGCATGCTCTAACTGATGCCAGCAAATGTCTCGATCATGTTTATCAGCAAAGGCATAAACCATCTTTACAAGGCTGGAACATATCAGTTTTCAGTCAGCTACATTCAATCATACTGTACTATATATATATATATATATATAGATATATATATATACAAACATACATACATACATACATACATACATATATATATATATATATATATACATTAATAAAGGATCAAATGATAAAAAGCACGTGTAAAGAAATGTTTCTCAGAAATAAGAGAGCTAAAAGTGTCATCATAATGTTTAATGTGTTGACTGATGTGACATATCGTGACATACAGACAAATCATTCAAACAGCACCACCAAACATCAGATGTACAGATCAAACCCCAAAATGAAAATGACAAACATGAAGCAGTCGGTCATTCAGTAGCTTGTGTAACCTCCTCGCACGTCCAAGACACAGGTGCACCTTGTTCTCATGTTCCTTATCAAGTTCATAAAGAAAGCTTGCGGAATCGCATTCCATTCCTCTACTAGAGCACTGCGGATTCCAGGGAGATTCACTGGTGCTGGGTGACGTGTGTGCACACGTTGACGGAGTTCATCCCAGGTATGCTCAATTGGGTTGAGGCCTGGTGAGCATGCCCTCCACTGCATCCTCTCTACATCCTGCTTCCTAAGGAATTCCATGACAATCCTGGTCCTATGAGGCCTAGCGTTCTTGTCTTTTAATTAAGCATAGTTTGCAGGAATGGTACTGCTATAGGAGCCAGAATCTCGTCCCGATAACGCTGTCTAGAAGGATTACTGTCAACCATGTGCAGTGGAGTACGTCCAGTAGGAGTTATCCATGCCCAAACAATGACCGCCCCCCCCCCGCCAAATTGGATATGCATGGCCACATTTGCATCTGTGATCCACTCTCCATTGCGACGATAAGTCTCTGCTGACCATCATGGAAGGACAAAATGAATCTGCTTTCATCTGTGAAGAGCACACGAGACCATTGACATTAATTCCAGCGGCCATGATGTCTACTCCATCGCAAATGCACCTGCCTGTGGGGTGGTGTTAGTGGTGGACGAACGTACACTGTTAACATCGTTCTGTCTGCAGATCTGCTGTGTTAAGGAATCTGTTACGTAACGCAGTTTAATCATGTGCCTATCATCTCAGACTGTTGTGACTCTGGGGCGACCTGGACAATGTGCACATTCCACAGACCTATTGGCTTGAAACCTCTGCACCAATGTACCAATTGCACTCTGGGCTCACATTAAAGCGGACAGCAATCTGCCAAACCTGAACACACTCTTAATATGCCTCTGAGACATCATCTTAATGCACAGACAAAATGGTGAATGGTGGGAACAAGAGAGGTGGGGACCACCAATACTCCAAGTAGCTTACTGTAGGGCAACTCAAACCGTGTCATTTCTCAACTGTGGGACAAGTACCATCAATGACTTCTGAACATTGCAGGTATGCAAAACATACGTCTGGACTAATTGCACTATAAAATGAATTCAAATCAGCTCTTGCTATCAAATTTCATAATTTACCATTGAAAACTGTCTCAATGCACATCACTATTCTTTAGCTCTCTTCCTCATCATCATCCATATCTTTTCACTAAAAGTTTCCCTGTCAATGTTACTATGGCTATGTACAGATTTTGGATTCACATATATTTTCTACTTTCACTAAAATTTCACTACTTTTTTCTGATAGCAATATATGAATCAAGCTAAACCAATCCATATAAAATGTTTTGGCTCACACAGCAAGAACCACATACCTGTAGAAGTCTCTTAGACCAAAGAATTCTCTTTTTGTATCCTGTGCTCTGCTGAATATAGTTGTGTAAGCATTAGCTAGCTCTGGCAGCAAAGGCTTGATTCTTCGGAGGACTCTCTCACTACTTGAACAAATGCCTCTGAAAATTATACAAATATTCAAATGATGTTCACTGAAGCAAAAATCATACAATTACTTAACTATAATGAGACATTGAAAACATAGCACTGAAAATTTCTTTTCATATGCATTGAGGTTAAATTCACATAAAAACACCTGTAAGTATATACTTCATTACATGTATTCCAATGTCTACTAACTGTGCACTCTTCACCAGTTCCCCATCATCAGGAACTTCTCTCTGCACCAGAATACCTCGGTTCATCTTGGCAGGGTCAAGGGCCCAGTTGGAGATACCAATGAAGGCAACCTAAGGAAAGAGTAACATTGTATGAACCCTGTTTACAGTAGTCTACCAAAGTTATCTCAAACAAGATAAGTGAACTGAGAAGTTTATACAACTATATGATCTGAAATCTTTCACCTACCTTCTTGAAAGGCTCTGGCTTTTCATCTCCCTGACAACCATCTTCCAGAAGTGGGTGAAGTGTCTGTGGAAAGAGGGTTGCAGTCTCATAAATACTATATCTACCAAAGCTTAACTAAACTAATGTCAATGCAAGAAACTCATTGAAAACTATTCACTTGTTAAATAGTGACATGGCATTTAGATCACTCAATATGTAGTCAACCGTATACTACCGTAGATAAGCCAAATTTTGAGGACCAAAAAAAGCAGTCTGTAGAAGGGGGTCGGCTTATCTGTGGGTTACACTTTCGTCCACTTTTTTCCAGGGGGTAAGAAATCAACATTGTATCGCTTCGTGTGAACAAACAAATAAGAGAAGACGACTTTATCAGTAAGGACATCAAATTTGCAATTAAACATCACCAGACAAGATTATTTACCTTTTCAGTTCTAATTTGTTTAAGCTGGGCATTGTATTATAAGCAAGGATTAAGATTACCATATGTATTTGTCTCGTATATAGAGCCGGAAACTACTGTGTGTTCTCAAATAGGTTTTATCATGTTTAATAATGTCATGTTAATATGTATGATATTCAAATGATGTTTTCATATACTTGATTTTTGTGTGAAAAGGCAAATTACTTTGAGGTATCATGGAAACCAAATTTTAATCTTGCCTCTTCAGTGTAGAGTAGAATAGACTTTCCTTACATATATAAATATTTTCATCTGGTTTTGACAATCAGACTTAAATGTTTAACTTGATATTTTCTCATTGATAACAACAGAGTGATGTAAATTATGATTATTATCAGGAAGATATTAAACTCAAATGCTCATCATATTATCATTGTAATTTATTTACAAACAGCAGTATACTACATCAATCTCAAAATACAAATCTAAAGTGGCTAGATGAACCTTTTAATCTTAAAATACACAATCTCAATATTCTAGCAGGCAGTGAAATCAATCATGGTATAGTTTCGGCAACTAAGGCATAAACTATTACTCTGTTAATATTGTTTAAGATGAATTCATATGTACAGGTTGGCTCAAGTTGACAATTCTCTTAATTCACAAGTATGTGATTAGTAAATTGTGGCTTAATATGATGTAATATAATGGAAAAAAAACATTTAGCAAATATTGACAAATCTTTTAAGAGTGCAAAGGTCACCTGATCCATTTCTGCTGTTAGTCTTTAACATCATATGATAGAAAAGGAAATCAACATTACACCATCATCTAAATTGCTGTAGCATTAACATGTTAAGGTCAGTTAACATTCCATACATCCTTGACCCAGAAACAGAAGTTTTCTCAGTATCAAGTCACAGGCAAGAAATTACCTTGAGTGGCATCCTTGGTGAGTCTTCTGCCAGACCAACTTCATCCAGAACAACGATGGAGGCAAACCTGTCCAGGTCCTTGTCCTGCTGGTAGCGAGCACACTGACGGAAGATACCGACAATACCTTCAGCAGTGGCCAAAGGACTGCACTGGAATGACACCATCTGTGCCTGCAAGAGTATAGCAGAAACCTTGCTACAATTATATGATACTGACATGACAATGACTGAGGACACTGTTGCAAATTACTTTGTTCGTGATCACCACTGTTTTTTATTTCAAAAGCAAACAATTCTTGTCCATGAAATTATACACCTTTCCTGATATTTCTCTCAACAGTTCTATTGTTGTCAATGAAACATTGAACATGTTCAAGGTGTGAAACAAGATGACAAAACATTTACTTCTATTGAAAGAAGATGTCAAGGTCTTGGTTCTCTGAAAGGAATGTTCTTGGAAAGACAAACCTGTTTCAGTTGTTTGAATAGCTCTGATCTGGCTGAGTTGCCCTGCATGGCATCTGCAACAATGGTTTTGGCCAGGGACTTGGAACTGCCTGGTTTTCCCACCAGGAACAGGGGGATCCTCAATTCAATACAGACAACCATCATGAACAGGTTCTCTTTGAGGGCCTGGTTCTTTGCTATGTTGTCTTCAAGCTGGACTTTGTCAACAAAGACATCCTGGCAACTAAAATGAAAGAAAACTTTATGGAGATCTTTGATTACCTTTGTTTGGATATTTCTTGATAACCATCCAATTACCAATGCTCGGCAGGATCTATTATTGTTTCCATGTAAAGTTTCTTCCAATGATATACAGAAACCATGAATCTTCACAAAATACAATTGGAAAAGAATTTGATTTGCTCATACAAAATACCATTTGTCACAGTTAGCATAAGACAAATGAACAAAGACACTTGTACCATGTCAAGAGTCAAACTGCATTGACCAGTTAGGCATAAAATAAGTTTTGAGTTAGATATCAAATATTACTAACCTGTTTATGACATGGACCATTTGATCCAACCCACCAGGAATGGCACATGGATTCTGGAAATGCCTGCATATATGACGATCATATTCCTCTCGACTTGTAAGTGACGCTCGGTAACACACACTTAGTGCCAGGATCAGGGATTTTGTCACATCATCCGGCTGTAAAACATTAAACGCAGCAGATTACTTTCTGTTGACAGAAAAAAGAACCTTTGACATGAGTGAGTGAGTGAGTGAGTGAGCAAGCGAACAAGTGACTGGATGGGTGGGTGAGTGGAAGTTAAGTGGATGAGTGGGCAAGCAGGAATTGAGTTGTTTTTTTGTTTTTTTTTAATTTTTATTCATTCCAGTGGAGCATACAGGATGGTATAATGACATTTGACGAAATACAGTAGTAGACAAACATCCCAATGAAGCATGCAGGGTGATATTTAAGTATCATTTGGTGAAGTAGTAAGACACGAAGCAGGAATTGAGTTAGTACATGACTGAGTGAGTATGGTTTTATGCTGCTTTCAGCAATATTCCAGAGTATCACGGTTGGGAACACCAGAACTGGGTTATACACATTGTACCTATTGTCTTTATTTAATACCAGAAGACTCACAAGATAGAAACGTTGACTTTCTTCCCCATCTTCTAAATGTTGATCAGGAGACAACAGGTTGTCTATAGCTTTGAACAACATTCCATTCTCCTGGGACTGCTGGTAGAACCAGGCCATGACACTCAGGGTACGATCAACATCACGGAGACTCACAAAACTGCACTCATCCTGTAAATTATTCATTAACATTCAGTGTCAACACATATACATGTACATACATACAAGTACTTCATGTTGGTGACGTAGAGACTTTGTGACAAGTCCATGTTTGTGAGCTAGTCACTCTGTGACAAGTACTACATGTTTGTGGCGTACTGACCTAATAGTAATTATACAAATTAGTTTCTGATCTAGTGACTCTGTTACTAATACAAGTTTGTGACCTATTGGCAAGTACTACATGTGTGTGACCTATTGACAAGTACTACATGTGTGTGACCTAGCTACTGACATATTGACAAGTACTACATGTGTGTGACATATTGACAAGTACTACATGTATGTGACCTACTGACAAGTACTACATGTGTGACCTACTGACAAGTACTACATCTGTGTGACCTAGTGGCAATTACTACATGTGTGTGACATACTGACCTAGTGGCAAGAACTACATGTGTGTGACCTGCTGGGAAGTACAACATGTGTGTGACCTAGCTACTGACATAGTGGCAATTACTACATGTGTGTGACCTAGCTACTGACCTATTGACAAGTACAACATGTGTGTGACCTACAAATAATTACTACATGTGTGTGACCTACTGGCAAGTGCAACATGTGTGTGACCTAGCTCCTGACCTAGTGGTAAGTACTACATGTGTGTGACATACTGACCTAGTGGCAATTACTACATGTGTGTGACCTAGCTACTGACAAGTACATGTGTGTGACCTACTGCCAAGTACTACATGTGTGTGACATACTGACCTAGTGGCAATTACTACATGTGTGTGACCTAGCTACTGACAAGTACATGTGTGAGACCTACTGATAAGTACAAAATGTGTGTGACCTACTGACCTAGTGGCAAGTACTACATGTGTGTGACCTACTGCCCCAGTGGCAAGTACTACATGTTTGTGACCTACTGCCCCAGTGGCAAGTACTACATGTGTGTGACCTACTGCCCCAGTGGCAAGTACTACATGTGTGTGACCTACTGCCCCAGTGGCAAGTACTTCATGTGTGTGACCTACTGCCCCAGTGGCAAGTACTACATGTTTGTGACCTACTGCCCCAGTGGCAAGTACTACATGTGTGTGACCTACTGACCTATTAGCAAGTACCACATGTTTGTGACCAAGCAAATTCATCACAGTTACATGCTTGTGATCTAGTGACAAGTACTGCATGTTTGTGACCTACTGACCTAGCAGCAATTACTACATGTTTGTGACCTAGTGACAAATACTACATGTTTGCGACCTAGTGACTTTGTGACAAGTACTTATTGTTTGTGACCTAGAGACTTTGTGACAAGTACTAATTGTTTGTGATTACACTACAAAATATAATTGAACCAAACATACCTGTTGTCTCCTCATGAAACACTGAGAGGCTATGAGGACCTTACTGACAACTGACACAATACTACCAAGTACAGGTATCTGGCCATTTCGAACCTGCAATAATTCCAAACATATATATGATTACGGTAAATATGATGCATCAACATTTTAGTCATATTCATGTTAAACAATAGTTAGCAGTTTTGATAGTTCTAAGAAATCTACCCCTATAACATCAATGCTAAAATGCTGTGAATTAGATATCATTTGTAACTGAATTAAAGTCACTGTATTGTCCATTTGAAATTATAAATAAAGAGTTATATCATAAAATACAGTGTTACCTGTATTAAAAAATTAAAATAGAAATAATGATATCCTATTTTACAAAAGGTCATGTATTGCTGTAACATCAAAAGTGAACAAGAGGCATGTTCGTCACACCGAAGGCCCGGGTTCGATTCCCCACATGGGTACAATGTGTGAATTCCATTTCTGGTGTCACTTGCCGTGATATTGCTTGAATATTGCTAAAAGTGATGTAAAACCATACTCACTCACTCAAAAGTGAACGAGAGTGGTGATATAGATAAAATATTTAAATAATGACATTACTCAATTCTAATTTTGTTGTGTTCTGTCTGAATGTATTCAAAATATTTTTAAAAGCTGTGTAACAATAATTTTACAGAGCAACAACACACAATGACCCACTTCTTTTATCAGATGAAGAGGTGGATATATCATCTGGATTAAAGAATACTTTTCATATGTTAAATATTACTTCCAACAAGCAGACATGCTTAACAGATCAAGAGTTGACTGCAGCGCTCATTTCATAGCTATGAAACAGTGTAATCATCTCACATATCTGTTGACCATCTGTCTGATGTAGAGTTCTTCCACTTGAACGTTGAGTTGGCCAAAGTCCCAAACAAGAGGAAGCATGCTCTGTGGCAAGGGCTGCACCCGGTAGACAAGTCTCCTCATAGGGACATGGCCTGGACATAGAAAATAATCACATGTACACATGTAACATGACATAACTATTTTGCTTCAGTAACTACAAAAAATTACAATTACAAATCTGTATGGCTAAAATACTTCAATGTGTAAAACATTAATGGAACCAAATTTTAATGTAAAGTTAGTGTAATATTAAAACAGATACCGTTTATGTGAAGTAGGTTAATTTTGGAAACATCCTAAATATATCAAAATAATGAAAATACCTAGTGTACATATACACATTGAAATGCATTTCTTTGCTGAAAACTGTAAATATGAAAGTGCAATCTGCATTTCATGGTTGATCATCAACACAATCATATCCATGTCTTAACCATAAATCCTTATTCATCAATTACTCTGTTAGTACCATACATGAATAGATGAACAAGACAGTTTGTCATTAATTTGTCTGGGATTCCATTTCTACTAATTCCATAATCAAAGTACAATTTTCAGTTTTACCATTTTACTTTCAGAATTCACTCCAGTGGACTCACTTACCCAGCTTATCTGTTGTCTTGTCAGCCTCAACATGATAGCCAAGTCCTGCTTTTTCAAGTCTCTGAATATACTCATCCGAATGTCTGTTTGTAAACATTAGCAAAAGTTAGTCAAAGATCTTTGAGTACTTTCATTTATGTGAAACTGAATTCCCAATTGTCAGGGAAAAACATTGTCCGATCACCAACAACATACCTGAAATACTGTCGCTATACCATAGTCCAGTTATTATAGGGAAAATACTTTGTCAATCATAGGTTAAAAATAACAAAAAACAAATAATAACAACTGATTTGAATACCACTTCACTGTGGAGTAAATATCAAAAGAATTTTGCATAGAGACAAAAGCATAATGTAGGCAAGATACATGTATATTGAAATGAAAAATACATGAAAATGACTTATAGTATATAGTATTTCAACAGCATTGCAAACTCCCGCCTGCCCGACCGCCCGGGACGGACTGTTTTGCGACCGGACGGTCAGTTTTAAAAAGTTGCACGCCCGATGGTCTGGTTGTTAAATCAGTGTAATTTTGTAATGTATATAATGAATAAAGCCTTGACTGAAAAACATTTGAAAACGTGTGTTATTGTGACAATAACCTGACATTAAACATTTCCCTCCTCTTATTAACGTAACCTTCTTTTTATTTTTCTTGATCCAGAAAATTCTGGACTGGCAACTTTCAAGCCAGTCTGGTAACTTTTGAGAGTTACCAGACCAGTTGTCTGGCTGAAATTTTGGGGAGTTTACAACACTGATTTCAAACAATCTTAGTGACTTTGATCATTTCAACGAAGGTAGATGAATCTGTGTGGTTTCTGTCAAGCAAGTTGATTTGCTTACAATATACTGTTGATTCATCTGTTTTCATTCATTGTTTGAGTTTGATTTATCATGCAGTGTCTGCAATTCATGGAATTCTTTATAGGTTATGGCAGTCCGCAGGTTATGGCAGATTATGGAACATGTACCAATAGGTTCAAAATGGTAATGACTGACCTCATGTGAAATACATAAAGTACAGAATTAACCAATTCAAACTATGCCGGCATGTTATCATGTACAGTGGCCACATGTTGTGCCACACCTTACAAATTGTCATAATACCAAATGCATGTCAATGATGTAAACAACGTCAATACGGGGATAATTGTTGCACGCCATGTTTTCAGATGAGTAGTTTTACTGTGTCTGACGATGCTGAAATGAACATCAAGTCTAAGACATGGAAGGGATATATGTGCATCAACATGTAAGGCTGCCATACACAGTCTCATGAAGTGAATGAATGTTGACAAATCATGGTGCTATTAGGCACTACTGATTCACAAATGTGAACAACATCGAGATTTCCCATCTAACTCATATCATCTGTAAAGACTGATACTTCTACTGACATAATTCATTACTGATAGCAGTGAGTTTTCAATTCGATAATTATTATCTCACAACCATTACCAGCAACATTTCTTCAAATGATTGTAACTGTAAGTTCTTTCCATGTATCCACTACATTTATTATATGGTTATGTACAGTGTAGAATTCAATTTTTGCAAGCCTATGATGATCTGAGTGGTATTTATTCCACATAATGCTGATTATATACAGCTACATATTTAGTGATTCCTGTACTAAAATCAACAACCTACTCAAAATATTAGACCAATGCCATTGACTCATTAATTATCTTTGCTAACAACACTAAATTTTGCAATTATAGATCATGTAGATGGATATTTAAAGTAGATTTAGATGTTGCTAAACCTTAATACTTAAAACCATACACCAAATTCTCTAAGTAACTTAAGCTCCAAATTTCACTAGAGAAAGGTCAGAGCAGTCAACAGGAATTAAATATTTAAATCACACATGGACAATACAGTTATAAGTCATACCAAGTCTTTACTTGTATGTTATCCATGAAGGTAGAGCTTAATATGTCTTAGATAATAAACACCTACTGGTATTTATTGTTTTATAAACAAGATGCTACAATGGCATGAGAAACTGAATGCATTAATTTTGACTATTTGCAAATGTGCAATGGCTCTACCTGTATGGAAACTAATGACCTTTCCAAGGTTTACCTAATACCATAACACTTATGTACTCAAACATACTTTCTGTAAGGATTGCAGGCAGCTACAATCTTTAGGTTTTCTGACAGTTTCAGTGGCTGTCCATCCATAGAGCCATCACACATTATTTCCTTGATGAGTCCAATGGCCTCAGTTGTGTTTGCTTCATCAAAGAACAGGACAGTGTACAGGTGAGGGTTATTAGCCTTATTAGCAATGGCGAGTTGTTCTGCATGCTTGACCTTCCTGATGATGTCCTCAGAGGTTGTGCCTCCATGAACCTTTCAAAGATAACTTTCAACACTAAAACACATGCATTTATGGTCAGATGACATTCATTGTCAAACTATTTCAAACCTGTCTTAGTACTTAAGAAAGTTAAATATGACCTTACTAGTACCTTTTTTCATCTTTCATCCCCAAGGTTGTCTAATGGAGTAAGACCTATGCTTCCTAACTTACACTTACACTTTCAGTATAATGGCATCACTGCAAATTTAGGGCATCAGAATGTCCTTTCTTAAGAACCTTCAAAAAGCCTCTTGATACATGTACATGTAAGCGAAAGTTAAATGTACTTCCACTTTAATGACCTTGATCCTTAATTTTAATAATGATTTCTTTTTGAAAATATGTGTGTAAATTATCATAAGCATGTGATATAAAACATGTCCATATCATGATGACACACAAATTTGAATTCCATTTGATGAAGATCAAACTTGGAATTACATATGGTGATGATGTCATCCACCAAGTTCCTTCTCTAACATGTATTATTACACCTTTACCTTCACAATGACCATATTTTCCATGTCAGAGCCTGGCAAGCACTGCAGATCACACATGAATTTGACCAGTCTTGTCTTCCCACATCCTGTCTCTCCCATGATTATCACTGGGATTCCACATCTATACAAACAGGTACACAGCAATATATCCTATAAGAATCTGGTAGATCTGTAATATATTTAGTACAGCTACTAAATATCTTTATTACATATATACAAGCCACACTTTAATTACACCATTACTCCTAACCTATTTCTGGGTTATCACATCCTGCTGTGTCCAGTGCATTAGTTTGGAGCTGTCATCAGCAGCATCCATTTACATCTGTCACAACTATTATTAAGGCTTTTCACACATGCCTCTTGCTTTGGGAATGTCATATTTTCTACTTATCTCATTGCACAGTTTGTCTTCTTCATATTTTACTCAATATTTTTAAGTGATGACAGAAATATCAAATAAGGAAACTTTTTACTTACCACTTGGTCTTTGAATGGCATTTAGAGTTTGACAAGCTATATGGCGGGAATGGCATTTAGAAGTGAAACACATAAGGAAGAGAGTTTTTATGGATGTCAACTTCTGTATTATGATAAACCTGTTTATCATAATAAAGAAGTTGACATCCATAAAAACTCTCTTCCTTACTTACCACTTGTGTTTAGAGTTACCAGCTTCAAGTGAGAAACTGATAACCAGTGGAATCACAATATAGCTTTGTTTGGCAGCCATAATAGTCACATATTGTGTTGGGCACACAGCCACATACGCAACCTTGGCCTGGTATTGCAAAGGCATGATCTGTAAAGTAGCCTGTGGCTTCCTTTGTGCAATATTTACATGATGACATTTGACTTGGCTGGCAAACACTCACCTAAATCTCATGTAAATGGCCAGAATCTTCTTGACATTGTCTGTTGTCAGTTCATATGTGTCATCCGGGTCATGTACAAAGTCGACACCTGGCATCACACTGCACAGCTTAGCCAATCGATCGTGTCTGTAAATGGAAAAATGCAATTTATAAGAACCAAATATGTTCATGCTAGTGTTTAAGTTCTTATGGTCTTGGAAGATACGTGATAACCTATAGAATGGATCCATCCTACCATGACATTATAGTATCAAGCATTATCAAATTCTGACCAGTGTACAAGTAGCATTGAATCTGTATGAAACAATGATTCATGTAATGTCCACAGCAGAGCAACACAAAGTATTTATTCAGAAAAATGTTTTCTGCAAACCAGGCTGATGGGCACATCAAATACTGATACTACTTCACAAAGGATCCAAAAATAATCCTACTTGATTATTTAGCTTAAGAATTGAAAAATATCTTATGAAGTTGTTCTTAATGTAGTGGTAAATAGTTCCTAATGTAGTCGTAGTAGAAGTGGATCTTCCATGAGGACAGGGAAGAATCTGTTTGGTCAAGATGGGGCTATGAGGATAACAGTGGTGTAGTGGTTAGCATGCTGGCCTCTCATGCCAAAGGCCCGGATTCGAATCCCGGTGGAGACACCAAAATTTGTGACCTTGGTCTCATACTGTGTTGTGTCCCTGGGCAAGGCACTTCGCCTACATTGCACTCAGTCCACCCAGCTGTTTAAAATGGGAACCTGAGAAGCGGACGTACAGACCTATACGGTCGTGTGAAGCACTAAGTAGCAGCTTTGAAAGTACGATTACATCAGGGTAATAATGTAATGCCAGAGAGCAGCATCGGGTTGGATTAGCATTATTACTATTATTATTAACTTCAGAGTCAGAAAGATTGAATTTCCTCTTGTCATTAGAGATATGTAGTGTTTTCCGTAACTACTAGTACTGATAACAGTCTGGGTGATAAACAATTGGAAAGACTCCACCCTGAACGATCCTCAATCACCACAATATCTCATCCATCACTACCAACCAAAAAGAACTCTCAGATCACAGAGCAAATGCCAACTCTCAGTGCCAAGACTCCAAGACAGCCAGAGCCTTCTCAGCCAATGCCCTTATTCTCTAGACCTCTCTTCCTATCGACATTAGATCCTGCACTTCACTGGACTCTTTCAAGGAACAACTGAAAACCTACCTATTTCCACTGACACTGTTAAGCGCCCCTGAGCGGTTGGATATCAGGCACTCAACAAGTGCATTACTATTACTATCATTATTTGTTTTTTCCTGCCTTGATGATAATTTGGAGATTTAACCTGCGCTTTCCGACATAAAGTGAATTTTGCACACAACTTCCTGCCTTATCAAGCTGAAGAGATAAATACTAATTGCCAGTGCTGTTGACTTGACAACTGGTTGTGTGTAGCTGACAGTGAAAAGGACCTCTGAAACTTGTGAAGATTAGTTGGATTTCAGCCATAATGCTGGATGTATGGCAATGATGTAGAGGTAGAGGAAGTGTAAAAATGTCTAATTTTGGAGCTACAAACTGCAATGTATTTAACATCCCAATGCTTGGATTTCCTATCTGAATGACATTACCATCTTATGTTGTTGCGTGTATTTTGGAACTAACTATAGAGGCGAAAACAAGTAAGACAAGCATTGTCACTAAGATGACATAATCCTCCGCTGCAAATTATCAAATCAAACTTTAAAAGTAATAAAAGTTTAAGATGAAGTTAAATGTCAACAAAAACATGACCAGTCAACCGCTATTGATATCTTGCTCTTTAGTTGTTCAAACACACAAATATTTTCAAGACTGGCTTTGACCTTGACATGAATGTCATAGTGTATGAAATATGCAAAAAAGGTACTAAAGAACATTCAAGGGAAGTCTTGAAAGTCTATGAAGAAAATCCAGTGAATTCAGGTTTACATGCTGAAATCTTCAAAGTGTCACAGTGTCCTTCAAAATTATGTGAAGGTCACCAAAATTGACTGGGCCCTGCACCTTCATTAGATAAAGCTTGGTGTTAAATATGAAACAAATCCAGTGAATGGTATTTGCGATATCTTGCTGACTATCTTAATATGCAATTTAACATGCTGAAATCTTCAAAGTGTCCTTGTGATCTTGAAAATTAAGCGAAGGTCACCAAAATAGACTGGGCCTTGCACTTTCCCTGAAGCTTGGCGTCAAATATGAAGAAAATCCAGTGAATGGTTCTGGACGTATCTCGCTGACAAGCATAACATGCAGGTTAATCTGCTGAAATCTTCAAAGTGTCGCCATGACCTTGAAAATTATGTGAAGGTCATCAAAATCAAGTGGGCCCTGCGCCTACCGTAGATAAAGCTCGGTATTGAATATGAAGAAAATCTAGTGAACGGTTCTTGAGATATCTTGCTGACAAGAGCAAAACGTTAAAGTCTCCTTGTGACCTTGAACTTATGGTCAAGGTCACCAAATCTGACTGGGACCTTTCTTATACTGTGATGAACCTAGGTAACAAATATGAAAAGAATCTAGTCAACGGTTCTTAAGATATTCGAATTCGTACGGACGGACGGACGGACCCTAATACTATATCCCCCGCTTCGCGCAAAACGCGCGGCGGGGGATAATGATGTAATTCATGGTGTGGGTACAGGAAAGGAAACTTATGTGTATTAAAACTTATTTTCATTTATCAATGAGTTCATTCATTTCACTCTTGAAAATATGAAGACTCTGCCAAATCCTCATTACTAATCACTTCTGCTGTTACCAAACAGTCAGTGCTTTTGGTCATGAAGGAACACACCAATTCAATACCTGCAATGTTTCTAGATTTGAAATCAACAAATATAATTTTCTGGTATAAATCTACTCTCATATAAATCTATCATCTAGGTAGTTGGCTAAAGATTTGTACGTGGCTTATCAGATATGATTACATCATTACCTAACCTATTAAATATACATATATAGAAAGATGTTTAACCTTTTCATCTGTTCAAAGTTTTCATTCATGTTGACCTTGTTTCTGATCAGTGCTTTCTGTAGTGGTTTGGGCACTAGATTTCTCTCCAGCACCCTCCCTGTCTGCTGATCCACCATGTTCCCTGTCTGGCGGTTGATGTTGAAGCCAAGAAAGGTCATTGTGTGGCCATCAGGGTTGAAGAAAATGTAGGGATGAGGGCTGAAGAAAAAGGATCAATACTGTACATCAACAGCATTTAGATACACTTACATTCATAAGAGCAGAACAATTGATGAAATCGGATTAATGTTATAGTTGTTTTAACTTTGTAATTATTGTTTTGTAAGCTAACTGTACAGACCATTTCCACTTTAGATATATGACACTAGACAAATCCACACCTGCTCTCCCATTTTCTCTTCATCTGAAACTGAGCTAGGTCTATGGTTTCTTGGACATTCAGTTGATCCAGAGGCGTCTGCTCACTCATCACCAAAGATCTCGTTGCAAAGTCCTGTGAAAAATGAAAGAGAATGATCTGAATCCTGAATGCACCAAAGCATCATAATACAAATTGTTTTTGTTCATAGAAGGAGAGAATGTCCGATACATTAGACATCTGTTGCAATATTCTAAAATATGAAGCATAGAATACATTCTAATTCATATTCAGGGTCTTATCTTGGATTTTAACCTATGCATAGATAGGCATATTTAGCACCCCAAAAAAAACAGTGCTAAAAATAAACAAACAAACAAAAAACCTGTTATTTTGTCCATATTTTCTTAAATTTAGCCGTTTTTAAGTAAGAAGGCATCATGCTTGCTTGAAATACAAATATGTTTTCTTGATATATGCCTCAGAGTTTAGGCCTTCATTTTAGTTCTTGAGGCAGGGAGAACTAATGAGCTTGGACTTATCCAGAGAAAGGTTCATATTTGAAAAGATCTTTAGTTTCTAAAGCATAGAAAATGGCTGTCCGAAGTTTTGAAACAATCCCTGTGAGGTATCTATAAGAGGTATCAAAATCCTATTTCTCTGGATCAGAAAACCTGACAATATTATGTTGAAACTTCCTGGAAGATATTGTCAGACATTGTGAAAGATAATTGTACACATGTAAGCAATGTAAACCTTAGCCTTGAATCTTGTTTCAGATGAAATGTTTGATGCTCTTACTGGCTAAAAGTCTGATTTACAAATGTAAAGTTTCAAACACCACCCTGTTGAAAAGGTTGATACCAATTAGCAGTACAGTTATTTTGATACCTGGTTGTCAGTTTGAAGTGCAGGGAACAGTTGGAAATTTGGAAGATTATTTTTGTGTGATTGCAGCCAAAAATGTAATTTTCTGACTAAAATTGATATTTTATACTTATCCTGACTCATGCTATTTGCTTGTCTCCTTCTCCTTGCGAATGATAGTGGAACACTTGAATCCCTTTTGAAGCTCCCTTTCAAAAAAGCGGACGTAAAATCACTTACCCAGGGTTGCCTCCCTTTACTGTTTTGGTGCTAAAATCAGTCACATGATCGCCCATGCTTGTCACTCTCTCTGTATATGAGCCCGACACCCGGATTTACAGGGAAATCCAGAGTGCCATGTGGGGAGGTTGGGAGGGCTGACCTCATGAGTCAGGATAAGTATAAAATATCAATTTTAGTCAGAAAATTACATATTTTTCCTTATCCTGACTCTTGCTATTTGCTTGTAGAATCCGACGGAACCGGGTGGTGGATCAGGCCACTTCTGGATTCATAGGTTGCTGATTTATGTCCTGCATACCCCCCGTGGGAACTTCTTATGGCACTTATGCTGATCCTATTCTTCCAGCTTCCTCTGATGAGTCTTGGGGGACCACAACTTGTCAGATTCTCTGGAACTCTTCTCTTGGCATTATGTGTGGATTCATGCAACTCCATGTCTTGATGCTCGCATCAAGTGGAGAAGCGACCCTTCTTCATGTACGAGTAACTCCTTACAAGTACAGGGTCTATAACTCATGCTGGTCTGTCCTAGACGTGCACCTGAACTCTAAAGCTCTAGCTCTCCAGAGCATTGGCTTTTACAAGTCACCTGATAAAAGGGTGAGATCCATCTCAGCGCGCCTTTGTCAGCGTCAATTGTTGTGCTACAACAAGAGGCCCAAACTGGTGAATGCCGAAGATGTCCTCGGTAGCAATGTCTCTGAGGTAGTGGTTGGCAAACACCGTCTCCGACTTCCAAAAGCAGCCCTCCATTATCGTCAAGATGAAGGAGTTTCCATCCAGAGCAAGTGCCGATGCCAGAGCTCTGACTTCATGAGGGTTGGAGGCTCGTGGAGGCTCATGTCCTGCTGCTTCGTAGGCCCTTAAGATGACAGCTCTCATCCAAATGGATATTGCTGTACGTGAGACTTCTGTGGGTGTCTCTGTGGATAGTGGGATGAAAAGGCGCTTGAATTTTCGTCTCCTCGTCTTAGTTCTTTGTAGATAGACTTTTAATGCTTTGACTGGGCATAAGGATAGATCCTGCATATCCTGTGGCCCAAGGACTGTAGAGAGTGCTGGGATGTGGAACTATCTGTGTGGTTGACTGGGCATCTGGTTCTTTGCTATGAAATCCATCTCAGCCCTAGATGTACGATGTTACGATGTGCATCAAATTGTGTTCGTTCAAAGTCCCGAGCATGTATCTCCGACATCAGTGCTGCTGTTGCCAAGGTGATCAGGAAGAGAGTTTTCTGTGTTAAAAACTTGTAGGATGTCCTTTCTAGTGGTTCGTAAGCGTCACTGGTGAGATGCTACAAGACTACGATGAGATCCCAAGCAGGCGCCTTAAACTTGTTTTGTTGGTCTTCCAACTTGAAGGAGCGTAGTAGTGCCAGTATCTCTGGTACTTTGATCAGCTTAACACCCGTCTTCATGGTGATTACCGTGCTGAGGGCCGCTAGGTATATAGGGAGTGTTGAACCTTTTAACCGCTTCGTTTGTCTTAGATGACATAGGTATTCCGCCACTTGAGAATGCGTTGCTTTCATCGCCGTCAAGCACTTCCTCAAAGCGTATTCCTCAAATCTCTGCCACTTGTTGTCGTACAAGTTGCGGGTTGATCTACATAGAGCTAGTGTCACCGCTTTTGCTGCTCTAGCGGAATATCCTCTTTTCTTCAAGCAAGTTTTGTTACACTCCATGCGTGTAACTGGAACACTGTGGGATTCCCGTGTACTTGCTTGGTGTGCGGATGGATGAGTAGGTTCGGCCACTCTGGGAGTTGCAGGGTTGGAGTTCCCAGTTCTTGCATGAGGATGGGAAACCACACCCTCGCCGGCCAATAGAGTGCGACCAAAATCAGTTGCAGCTTCTTCATCTGCTTGATTTTCTGCAACACCTGCGGTATTAGAGCTGGAGGTGGAAACGCGTAAGCGTTTAGTCCTTCCCAAGAGACGCTTAGAGCATCTGTTGCCCATGCTTGTGGATCGGGAATCAGAGAGACAAATGTTGGTAGTTGTTTGTTGTACTTTGTGGCAAACAGGTCTATCAGCGGAGATCCTATGATCTGTATGATGCATCGGAAGGCTTCTGGATGTAACATCCATTCCGTCGGGGATGGTTGTGTTGGACGAGATAGGTCGTCTGCTATCACATTCTTGGCTGCCGGAATGTGGCATGCTTTTATGTAGATGTTCAGGTCGTCTATTATGCTGAACAGATGAAAGCTGAGATCTAGAAGATTTCTTGATCTTGTTGATCCTTGTTTGTTGATGTAGAACACTACTGTGGAGTTGTCCGTATGGATCAACAGCTGTGCGTTCCTTAGTATGCTGAACCAGTGTAGTAAGGCGTTTATTACTGCTTTCATCTCGAGCATGTTGATGTGCAAACTCGACTCGACCATTTCCATGCTGCCACTTCGTTGTCGAGGTGAGCTCCCCATCCTTAAAAAGTGATGCATCTACGTAGAGATTAGTGCTGCACTCCGGCTCTGATAAATAGGTTCTTCCGCAGACATCGACTTCCGAGTCCACCATAGGTTTCAGACTGTCCGGGAACACGAAGGGATCCAGACTGTCAAGATGGGCGTTCACGAACACTTGTTGTGGGCACAGTTGTAGTCTTCTTCTGCGAGTCATGTCTTGAGCTGATGTGAGAAGACCGAGTAGGCTCTGCCAACTTCATAGTGGTAACGGAGAGAGTAGTGCTAGAGATACCATGTGTTGTATCTTGACCCAACGCTCCTCTGGAACGACGTGAGGAGCCGCATTTCTAGGAATTGAAGATCCTGTGTTGGTTCTAGTTCCGACTTGAGGAGATTTACTAGCAATCCTAGTTGAGTGAGAAGCCTGATGGTGAAGTTTAGTTGCAGTCTGACTTGACTGGGATCTTGATGAACTTGAATCCCGTCGTCCAGGTAAAACGCACTGCGTAGACCTCGATGATGTAGATATGTGATGATGGGCTTTGTCACTCGAGTAAACAACCAGGGGGCCGACGATATTCCAAATGGTAGCACCTTCCATTGGAAATGATGACCGTTGAAGAGGAATCGTAGGTATTTCCTTGAGTCCGGATATATATGGATGTGAAGATATGCATCCTGTACATCTATGCTGGCGAGGTAGTCTAATGGACGAACGACTTGTCGCAGCTGATGAAGATGTATCATCCTGAACTTTGCGGGTCTTCGTAGATAATCTTGGTTGAATTTCCTCAGGTTGTAGATGAGTCAGAAATTTTCCTTGGAATTTTTCTTTGGTACTAGGAAGATTGGGGAATAAAAGCTGATCATGATGAGCTCCTGTTTTATCTCTTCGACTGCCTCTTTCTCGAGTAGAGTTATGATGGCATCATGTAGTTTCTCCATCTGGTCGGCAGCGTAGTTATGGTCCAGAGGGTTGCTTGTAAGTGGCGGTACTGCTTGCAGTTGTATCTTGTATCCTTTGCGTAGGATCTGGGATACGTAGTTGTCCTGAAGAATTCCCCAATTCTCCCAGTAGCGTTGCAGACGTCCACCCACTGTCGAAGGTTGTATGGGAACGGCTGGGGGTGGATGACTCCAGTTGTTCCGAACCCGTCCATCAGCGCCTAGATCCTCTGGCACCTCTGGGTGCTTGGCCTCTTCTGGGGTTACCTGGGAGCTCCGGTTGGGCGACGAAAAGAGTCTCTTGCCATGCTTCTTTTCCCTGGCTCTCTGTATCCCCACGAATTTCGACTTGCCAGAGTAGCGTTGTGCTGTCTGATGGATAACACTGGCTAGTGTGACGATGGACTTGATCATCATCACATCCCTTGACTCTTTCATAACTTCTTTGGCTATGTCATCAATCTCCCCTGCGAAGACGGGCGATGCTGACCACGGAGCTCTGTACAACGTCTTGGTGGTGAACCGCTCACTCCAGTTGCAGGAAGACAGCAATCCTTGTCTTCTCGAAGCGTCAGGCCCGCTGACGTAGATGCCAGATGTTCGGACATAAACTGATGATCCTTCCTTTGGGTCAGCAGTGCAGAGTAAATCATCCGATCCTCTTCAGAGGTCGAGTTCCTGAACTTAGCGATGAGGGTTTCATTAATGGCTCTTGATTTGGCAAGACCAAAGAAGGTACGTCTGGTGGTTGTATCTAGTTGTGCCAGCTTCTTATCCTCTCTCTTATAAGTCCTAGATCGGGAGTCGTTGATGATTTTGTAGTTCTCATCTATCTCTGGGGCCTGCATGAAGTGTTCCATCTGGGGCCTACATGAAGGGTTCCATGTGATGAAGTGAGAACTTCTTGGTGTTGAACGGCGGGACGCTTTGGCTCTGGAACTTAGTCCGAGACACGATCGATGGGTGGAAGGGTGAGCGTATCAAAGTCTTCGTTCCACATCTTTTACGTGAGTGCTTCATTATCCTCTTTAGAAGGTGATGCAAGTTCCAATCCATTAGCAATCCAAGATTTGATCCCTGTATCGGAGAATATGATTCCGCCATCATCTTCAGATCTAGTGGCCTCTCGCTCTGAAGATCATTGCCACTGTGAATCCTATCCCAAAGACCTGCGTGGAGATCTGCATGGAGACCTGCTTGGAGACCTGCCTGGAGACCTGCGCGCAGGTGACCGGTTGGGATAAGCTAGGTTCCTCCCTGGAGTCTTGAGACATATCTCAGTGCCTTCGTGACGGTGTAGATTCTCTTCTACGGGATGAGGAGTGCCTGCATGCAGGCTCCTGATGGTTGTCCGTATCTGAGGTCGAAGATGATCCTTGTGATCTGCTTCTGCGATGCTCCGGAGAATGTCTAGTTCTGCTCCTGCATGAAGGCTCCTCGATAGGCTCTTCTGGAACATCTACAGCAGGCTCATCATTGTCAGGGCTGCCAGGTTCTCTGGAAGTTGCCATAGACGATCGTTGAGTGCGAGACCCTTCACGCAGGCTTCCTCCTTCACGCAGGCTTCTATCTTCAACAGGATGCGATGTGCAGACTGCTTGTTCTTCGTGCAGGCTTGTCGTAGATGGGGTCTTCGCCACAGCCTTCTCCTGCGCAAAGCGTCGTTCCATCAGCTCCAACATTTGCTCAGTGAACTGCTGCATGAAGATACCCAGGTTGAAGTCCTGCGCCGACGCCTGCTGCTGCTGCAGAGATGACGACGCATCTGAGCGGGATGAGGCTTCTTCCAAGGACCGCTGCACTTGTGAAGAACTGCCGTCTCTGGTACCTGATGTCTGCGTTGATAGATCATCTGTCTGCGCTGAGATGGCTGCTGATGTCACTGCAGAAGAGGATCTCGTCTTCTTCTTAACTGCTACTTCAGGAATGAGGATGGGTGGATTGTCATACACGTCTACTTCGTCTGGAGGGATGATCTCTGCATAAAAGGACCTCGTCTTCTGTGCTGCACCGGGGGAAGACTTCACCGAAGTCTTATCTGCAGTCAACTTCTTTTTCTGTGAAGACGATGATCTGGTCTTCTTAGACTGCGACGAGGCTACTTCAGACGTTGACGATCTCTTCCTGGAGCTGGAGCTCCCCTCTGCCACAGCAACATGCTCCGTAGTAGCGACCGGCAATTCACTGGAATGGTGAATTTTAGCAGCAAACAATTAAAGGGTTATCAGCGTATTCACTCGGTTTAGAATTGACTTGTAAATGCCTTCTAGACCAGTCATTAGCACGTCTAAGAATGGAAAATAAATAATTATTGAATTCAATTTCAGATAAGTGCTGACAAAGTTGACAGCGAAAGCTGGAAGAACACGTAGAAGTGCAATTAGGACATAATAGATGAGGATCAGTAGCAGACAACTGGTACCTGCAACCTTTCATCAAATGTAAACAAGATGAAGTATCATGTCAACAACGTAAAAAAACAGATAATTTAGACAAAAAATTCAAACCATATTGCTAGTATATCTTCCTAAATGCCATATACAGCTAAATTTTGCGGTAAAGGCCTCAAATTAAAAGGATATACTGCCGTATAGGGACCCAGGCGCTCTCACAACCGTCCTCTAGGGCGAAGAAGGAGAGAGTGACAAGCATGGGCGATCATGTGACTGATTTTGGCGCCAAAACAGTAAAGGGAGGCAACCGTGGGTGAGTGATTTTACGTCCGCTTTATTTAAAGGGAGCTTAAAAAAGGGATTCAAGTGTTCCACTATCATTCGCAAGAAGGAGACAAGCAAATAGCATGAGTCAGGATAAGGAAAAATTACAGGATTTTTGACGGTGTAATGTTGGATGTATTCTGAGAATTATTAACAAAGATGTCTGTTGTTGCTATGTTTATGAAAAGGTAATCTGTTTGACTCACCCTTGACATCTGGATAAGGAACTTTAGAACAAACACTGGGAAACCTGGCAAATCCTCAAGGACAGCATTGGAACAAAAATTAGATTTCTCAAAGTCGACCAACTGGGTGTTGAGGAACCATACAAAGTTGTGAAGTTCAGACCAAGATGGATCCATCACACCACAATGTCTGAAATATACATAAACATCAAGCTATATAAGCTCTGTAGCTCACCTACAGTTTTCTATATATTTGAATTATCATAGCTTACAGGTGATTAAATGATAATGAACAACCCATTTAACAATGACACACATTGCTTTCTGGTTGGAATGTTTTCAAGATGGCTAGAATGCATGAATTTTGATAGAAATTAAGAGCCTGTTCCAAACTCAAGAATGAAAGCAAGATCAAAACTTAACATATCTGAAAAACACAAAACCTATGTGTTCAGCCCGACTACAAAATAAATACTGTAAATCATGAAATTAATGCGTCACAAATTTAATGTAAGTGCAAGGGTCTAGTCTAAAATGCGATAAAATGTGACACCCTGAATCTTTGATGTTGTTCATTTTCTTTTCACACTTGCTATTTACCAAATAACCTGAATTGAGCTTGTTAATCAATGAATGGAAATGAGTTGACGATGTTTTGATTACGCTGCCATGTTTGATCATGTGATTGCTTGCTACTACTTGTCTGATGGAAGCTGCGATGTCAAAGGTTAGCTAGATTGTGAAATGATCCTGCAAGGTTGGAGAATGTACAGTCAGCCTGATGGGCTTTAGTGACTTTAAACAATGACCAGTGACTGTAACCAGTAATAATTACATGTGACTTGGGTTACCTGTAAGGTTCATGGCCGGGAAGGCTAAAATTGTGACGCTTCTTAGTTCAATGAGCGTAGCCTTCGCGGTACTTGCAATACAATGTTATGGCTGAATGAACACAGCGCGCCTCACTCGGAGGCTCTGATAAATTACAAAGAAAACAGGATAAACGCGAACGCTCTTTAATTTGGACACATATAACAATATAAATAAAGTTATTTACACATTTTCACGTCTATTCTTCATTATACATTTTCTTTAATTCAACATTAGATAGTTCATTTTAAGGAGTCTTTCCTAAAAGATAAATGTATACCTTGCGAGTTTAAATCTTTGAATATGTTTCCGCTTATGTATGCAGATGAACTTGTAATATTTTCTGAATCTGTTGAAAGGTTGCAAACACAGTTGAATTCGTTGTCAGCTTATTCCAGACAGTAGGACATTGAAGAAAATATTGCTAAAACTCTTCTAAAGATAATGGTCTTTAGAAGAGGTGGTAAAGTTAATTCGTCAGAACATTGGTGATATAATGGTTGTGTCCTCGAGGTTGTTGATACGTTTACATATTTAGGAATAGTTTTTAATTATAATAACAGATTCTCATTTTACAATAATATCAGGTCGATCTCTCTCAACCTGGAATCTCTTTTATTTGTCTTTGAATGTTATGTTGGCAGTATACCACCTTATGTATCTGAGATATGGGAATATAATAAAGGCTTAAATATTGAAAGGTTGCATTTGGATTTTTGTAAAAGGTTATTAGGAGTTAAGAAATCAACATGTAATTCCATGGTTTATGCCGAGTTAGGTTGTTATCCACTCGTATTTAAAAGGCAATATAGCATGATTAAATATTGGTGTAAGCTTCTTGTTTCTGAATATAGCTTTTTATGGGGTTGTTATGAGTATTTGTAAGTGGAGGTGGAGACCCATGGTGTCCAAAATTGGGCGTATCAGGTAAAAAGTATTTTGTCAATCATTGGATTAAGTTAAATATGGTTAAGGCGGGAATTACCACTAGATATCTAATAGTTATAAAACAAAGAAAAAATGGTCAGGCTATTCAGTTTATCTTTAGTGAGCTGTCCAACTCATCGAAATGTGCAATTTATAAAAATATTATTAACCAGTGTACAGATAACGGTAATAAATGAATCGAATACTATAACAATGTTTTGAAAAGAAATCTATCTACTCCCAACACGGATTTTGCTTCCCGGCAATGTATCTTTGACGGTACTCCCCTACTCCCTTGGAAATTAGCTCTCCCGGGAAATCCAAAATATAAATTTTAGCCTTCCCGGCAGGACACCACCTGTAATGAGGAAGTGACCTGTATTGGTGTAATGTGTAGTGTCAACACTTCCGCTATTGTTACATAATTTGCCGATGAATAAATTCAGTGTATATTAATTAGTGTCATGGAAATTAGTGCTCATTTGTCATTTATTTTTATGAGAGATGTCTAAATTATTTTTATATTCTGTATTGTTATGATGAATGCTAACCTGAAGACAATAAGATGACGAGATATTTACGTTTTCTGTATTTTATTAAGTTCCCCAAAGTAGACATGGTTAGACTGAAATGCATCACTATAATGATGTGAGAAGAGTACAGACGCATTTTTCGCATTAATAAAATGCTCGCATTAATTTCATGAGTTACAGTAGATACCAAATTCTGTTGCATGGTTAACCCAAATGACATAATAATTGCAAAAAATATTTGTTTTCAATGTGGCACCATTGGCAGTCGTATAAAGAAATCACCTCTTGAACAAATCTGGGGTCATCATTTGTGGGAACAAGAATATAAAAGTTCGGAAACATTCATGCCAAAGTTCAACTTCCTTAGTAAGACAATTTCAGGTGAGAAAATTACTAAGACGCAGTCGTGAAAAACAGCCATTTAGAAAATTAATGTCTGTGTAGGGCCAAAATGTATTTAATTTCAGCCGATTGAAAACTATTTACATGATCATAATAATTAACATCCAGCAATGTATATGATAATAAGAACAGAGATATGACTTGCTGAAATACTGACTGCAGGAGAACTGTTAGACATTCTTCATGTGTTCCTTCAGGTACTTGTGAGTTGATGTTAGTAAGCCCTTTGTTGCTGTTCCATCGCTTGAGGTATTGAAATGGTCGCTGGTAAATTTCACCTTCAAACTCAATGATATCAAAGAGACTGTCTTTCTCACCATACTCTACAAGAAAAGATGTTCACAAAATTAACACTGACATGATCTTGAACTGGTAGAATAGTTTTAGTATGAAAGCATCAAACATATTTTTGCTTGCATGGCTTGATAACTTATTACAATTAAAAATTTAAAGAGGGATTGTGCTCCACAATGTTGTTTGTTTTCAGCATAACTAGTACCTTGGTTGAAACTGTATTGTGGCAGCTGGGTCAATCAACAATTTGGATGCCAGTCAAAGATGGCAAAAGTATAATGTTTTCATAAACTTTGTCAGGATTGGAAAGTTGTATACCGGTAAGTCTGTTCCCCCTTAAATACCTTCTGGTTTAATGCCAGTTTTGAGTATCTGCAGACTGTCTTGAGGAGACCAGCAGTAGACATCAGGAAGGACCTCCAGCAAGGTGTGGATTAGACGCAAATTGACTCTCTGAATAACATCAAAGTCATAAAGATATACTGATGTACAGAAAAGTTGTTTCTCATACAAAATAGTCGCTCATCCCGTCTCTTGTCAATAACGTACAAAAAGCTACAATATACATAAATAAATAACTTAACCAAACCTGAAGAGGTTTTCAATTCTTTGAAGAGAGTCGTCCTTGGGGTACATATATGCATTTTCCACGCTGAAAATGTCCTGTGACAGTTGTATCAATGTTTTAATACAAATATTGTACAATAAATAAAATCTTTTTTATCTATTATACGGCCCCCACCTCGTGGAGTTACCTCCCGCTACGCATGCGCAGCCAACCAGGTAAGCACCTAGGCCCGTATCATCATTCCTTCTGCTGAATAAATCAGTGAACAGAATCGCGGAGAGGCGGGCGGCCCTACCCCAAGGATCTAACTCTCTTCAAAGAATTGAATAACCTCTTCAGGTTTGGTTAATTATTTTTCATAGAGATCCTTGGGGTACATATATGCATAAACACAGACTCCCAAAGACCGGAGGCCAGGGAGGAGGGAATTCTGTCAAAGTACACACAAATAGCGATCTTTAAGAATAATGTAACAGACGCCACAATCACTCACCTGTCACATGTCCCGTTTTGAGCTTCCGCAAGAGGCATGATGGGAGGGTAACCGACAGGGAGGAAAGGTACTGAGAGTCGACCTCGCAGGTTAAGCATAATGAGATTGCACAAAGTGCGAACGTAAACAACCCCACCCACCTTATGGTCTGTTAGAGAGCACCGTAGGGGGGAAAAAACACTCACTACCGACCATAATCTCCGTAGAGGATCGAAAGGAGGTAATGCACACAGCAGCAGACATATCAATAAAACAAAATTGAAAGCAGCGTCAACTAAACCAAATAACCAAGACTCACTCGGTCAGGGTTGCAGGACACTGTCCACTGGAGAGAACAGAACGGCCAAAGTGCTCACGATCACGTGAATGTGTATCGAGCTGATAGTGCCTGATAAAAGTGCTAGGCCGGCTCCAAATAGCGGCAGAGCATATCTCTTCAATGGGTAGTGCCGATGCAAAAGCTTTTGACGCGGGCTACTGCCCTGACCGAAAGTGAGCCTTCAACCCTCAGGGGAGGCTTTGCCCTTAGCCTGATAAGCAGCACAAATGACCGATACAAGCCAGCCAGACAGGGTCTGTTTGTTTTCGCCGCACCCCAGCCTTCCCGCCACCGTAACAGCAGAACAGATGGGTACCCGTGACGGATCCCTTTGTGTTCGCTTTTGATATAGACCTTGAGAGTCTTTCGGACATCCAACGGGTGAGTGCTCGTAGGAGAGGTCCCCAATGTGGAAGGCTGGGTAAGAGTAGGAAGGAGCTGTCACATGGAAAGCGTGATCGACCTTCAGGCGGTAAGTATCCGGGATGCGAATACTGACACGATCTGAATGGAACACAGTCAGCACCGGGTCTGACGACATAGCATGTAAGTCGCCAACCCTACGCCCAGATGTTACCGCCACCAGAAATACAGCCTTCCATGTTAACAACTGAATGGAAATAGCTGATAGACGTGAGAACGTAAGACCGGACAGCCAATCGAGCACAATAGACAAATCCCAAGGTGGGATGGTTCGCCTGACAGCAGGTCGAACCCGATCTGCGCCAGCTAAAAAGCGCTGTATGAGAGGGTGCTGCCCCAGAAGAGCACCATCGAGAGGGGTGTGAAAAGTGGAAATAGCAAAAACTCCAATACTCGGACTAAATCCGCAGAAAAGGGATCTGCAATCCCCCTATCTGAACACCAGCGCGCATAGCGGGACCACCTATCCTCATACTGAACGTTTATCAAATCCCGCCTCGAAGCCGAATTGTGTCTGCAAATGCTGCAGGAATTCCGCGTGCTTCGAGGCTAGACCTGACCGAGGCCAAGCCACCCACTGAATCCTTGGATTGGGGTATGGTGCACCATTCTGAGTGAGAATGTCCGGTAGCAAAGGTAATAGAACAGGAGGCTGAGCCAGAAACCTGAGAATTACCAGAAACCAGCTCTGTGACGGCCAAAGCGGTGCCAGTAGCACAAGCAGCCGAGCTGGCTGGGTGGACAGCTGGGAGAGGACCCGGGGAATGAGTCCCAATGCCCTCTGGTCCGGTATTCGAGAGAACAAGGGTATCTGATTCGTCTCGCCGGACGCAAACAGATCCACCTGGAACGATCCGTACAACTGGGAGATAACTCCGAATATCTGCTGGTCGAGCATCCACTCGTGCGGGGCCAGGATCTGGCGACGGAGAGCGTCTGCTCGCACATTCTCCAGCCCCGGGAGATAAACAGGGAGTACCTGACAGTCGCACTGGTCGCACCAGAGGAGAAAGTCCCACGTATCCTGAAGGAGCTCTAGGGACACCATGCCGCCTTGCTTCAGGATGTATGTCAAGGCCGTACGGTTGTCTAACTGAAGACGAACCACCTGGCCCTGGACATGCTCCCGGAAGCGCTCGAAAACCAACCGCACAGCTCTCAGTTCCCCCCCAGCTCGTGAGGGACGCATCGGATTGAACTGTAAGAGCTGGCATCGGGATTTCCAAAGGGATCCCATTGGAGAGATTCCCGACATTGGTCCACCACTGAAGGTGTGGAGACAACCACCCGGGGACTTTGAGACTCCGCTCCAGGTCCTCCGAGTGAGCCCACAGACTCGCCAAAACTTGCTTTATAGGGCGCATCCTCAACCGCACCTGCATCACTACAGAGATAGTCGCCGCCATATGGCCCAGTAGACGGAGCCAAGTCTGTGTTGGTGCCTGGGGATGGGAGAGGAACGAAGACACCATCTCCCGTACTCTGGTGACCCAGTTGGGCGACAAGGAAACAAGATCCTTGTGAGTTTGGAACCTCGCCCCGAGAAAAACCAAGTCCTGGGTGGGTTCCAGGTCGGATTTCTTAAGTTGATGATCCACCCCAGTCGAACTAGAATGTCTATCACCTTGTGAGTAGAATCTAGGCTCGCTGGCTGAGTTAGCGCTGAGCAACCAGTCTTCGAGGTAAGGGTAACAACGCCTTCCTTGCGATCAAGCGAGGGTAGCTGGCACTAACATGAGCTTGGTGAACACCCGAAGGGGAGCACCGTGAATTGGTAATTCATCCCGTCGTAAGAGAACCAGAGGTACTGCTTGATCGATGGATGTATGGGCACATGGAGATACGCATCCTTTAGGTCGATTGACGTGAGCCAACCGCCGGGCTGAACAGAGGAGATCACCGAGCGAAGTGTCTCCATCTTGAACAATGGAACCTCTAGCATGCGATTCAACCCCTTGAGGTTGAGAATGGGACAGAACCCGCCGTCTTTCTTCGGAACGAGGAAGTAAGTGGATTAAAATCCCGCCTGTTCCTCACCCGGTGGTATGCACTCTATAGCAGACTTGTCCAGCAAAGCCTGAACTTCGTCTCGCAGTATACCTGCCCTGACCTGACATGACGGCACCAGAGTGCAACGTATGCCGGTGAATTCTGGCAGTGGTAGCACCCAAGTGTTGCTTGTAGCCTTCTCCCACTCCGGCAGGAATAAAAAGAGGCGGCCTCCCACTGGGACGTGTGGTAAGAGAGCATGAGTGGTCCTGAGTAGCTGAGCTGACTGGGACGGACCCACAGCGACAGCCTGTTGGGTTAACGGGAGGTCGGGGCAGCCAGACGAAGAGGACTGCTCCTTGCCCTTACCCTTGGTGGGACGGCTCCTCCGCCTACCCCTGCCAAGCAGCCGAAGCCAGCCGGCAGACTAGAGTGTAGGCTGCACCCAGGAGAAGGAAGCCGGGACGGGAGCGTGGGGGCGAGAAGCCCGCGGTTGCTCCAACAAGGCCTTAGAATCCTTGAAGGAGGTAGCTGCAGCGGCAGCCTCCCGTATGACCTGCTGTGCCCCAGGAAACAACGTAGCTCCCAGACGGAAGGGAAGGGCCAGCAAGGTCTGCTGTGTAGCTGCCGAGTAGCGAGACATCGACAGCCACAGTTTGCGCATCCCCATGACTGCGCACATCACCGTAGACGCCGCTGACCGCAAGGAGTCGCGCGCTAGGTGGGCCTGAACTTCGGATAGTTGGCAGAGGAGAACGACATGCAGAGAAACGTCCTCAGCATACCCCTCAGCCTCCAGGGCCGACCTCTGAATCGAGGAGAGGTCGGCCTCGTGGATGACCACCCGCACCTGCTGCATGGCATTCCGGTAAACCTCCTCGTAGGTCCAGTAAGCCTGTTGCAGGGGGGCACCCGCGAGGGCAAACGGTGGCATCAAACGCCCTTGCCTGGCAGCCGGAGCTGCACCGGAGGAAGCCGAGCCTCCCCCCAGGGCGACCGAGGTGAAAACACACTCATCGACCACTGGCACAAAGAACAGGGAATTGTCCCCCAGCTGGTACCTCTTGACAAGCTCAGGCAAATCAAACCGGAGGCGTGTCCCAACCAGGAGGGGATCCACCACGTCCTGCACCAGGGACGGCAAGATGCGGAGCAGCGTCTGCGAGGGTTGACTAGGGGCAAATGCCTCACCTGGCAGGCGGAACTCAGCATAGACCGAGCGGCTGGTAGGCACCGCGGCCTGGGGGATAAACTCAGCAATGCATTGCCGTACCTCCCTCAGAGGAGCCGTCGAGAAATGGAAAGCGCCCTCTGGCTCCTCTACCTCCCCAACGTCCATGGACTCGGCACCTGAGCCCGAGTCAGAGGCTGGGTCTCCTCGCGAAGAGGACCCAAACCCCGACCCGGTGGGCAGCCTAGCACCAGACACAGAGGGAAGGGAAGAGCTGAAGGAGCTCCCCGCTTCAGCTCCCGACACCACACTCGAACCCCGGTCCTGAGACGCGGGAGGAATACCAGGCAAAACTGGTTCCTCCGCTCTCATTGGGGCGGGACGGCGCAGGGACCGGAACCCCAGGAATCCTCAACGGACCCTGCGCCAACACCGAGAGGGGGACTCGGAGAGAACCCTCCCCCTCCGGGGTAGCCGAGGCGTCCGGACCCGAAGCCAGAGGCAACGGATCGACAGACGCCTCCAGGCCAAGGGATCGAGCTGGGCTCGGCGATCCCACCCCCGGACTCTCCGTCCCCTGCTCAGAGTGGGCGAGGAACTCCTGCCGGAGACCTCCAACTGAATCATGAACAAGGGACTTCACGGAGTCCATGTGCTACTGAAAAAGCTGTGTGATTACAGACATGTCAAAACCAGTGGGAGCAGTAGAAGGCCCCTTACTGCGTGACTTAGCTTTTTGCCTGCCTTAGGTTTTTTGGCTTTAGACGGGGGGACCTGGGTCAGTTCCCTTCCCGCCTCTCGCATTTCTCTACAAAAGAGGAAATCGGCAACCCGTCTTTTCTGGGCTCGGGGGGAGAAGCCCATACATTGTTCACATATGTCGGAATTATGTCCGACTTTCTCTAGACAAACGAGACACTTGTCATGCTTGTCTGCTCTGGGAATACTTTGTCCGCAGACAGTACATCCGGAAAACGCCTGAAAGCAAACACGCAAGCATGTAGCTAACAGCAGAGCCAGCAGCATAAATATACATGTACAAAACATTGAAAATTACGTGAATGCGACCACGGGAAGAAATACTTGGTTAAAACGCAATATGACAACCACGTGGCACGCTAAACTTCCCGCCATGGCAAAGCAACACGTGCGTAAACCATGGGAAAGTTAGTGTAAAATATTTAATACAAAGTCACAATTATGAGACAATCGACCGTAAAGCCTTATTGTTCCGTTCATAGGACAAAATAAAGACCATACATACAGGTGGTGGTGTCCCAGACATTATTCTCGTAAACTTCATTTTATGGAAGGAGTTCAGCTCTACACGGCACATCCCTTCAATGGAGTGACAGCAGACGGAATGATGATATGGGCCTAGGTGCTTACCTGGTTGGTTGCGCATGCGTAACGGGAGGTAACTCCACGAGGTGGGGGCCATATAATAGATAAAAAAGATTTTATTTATTGTACAATATTTGTATTAAAACATTGATACAACTGTCACAGGACATTTTCAGCGCAGAAAATGCATATATGTACCCCAAGGACGATCTCTATGAAAAAGAATGCAGTGTTCATTCCAATAAGTAACTCATTGCAACCAAGACCAGAAATACCTTTTCCCCTGCACAGTAAATAAGACTTACTGTCTGACATCTGTCTCCACGAGATACACATTTTACATACAGACTTTCACTCTCTAGATATTGACAGATACATACCCTGTCCTGCCTGACATCTGTGATGGGAATGGTCTCCACAAGATACACATTTTACATACAGACTTTCACTCTCCAGATATTGACAGATACATACCCTGTCCTGCCTGACATCTGTGATGGGAATGGTCTCCACGAGATACACATTTTACATACAGACTTTCACTCTCCAGATATTGACAGATACATACCCTGTCATGCCTGACATCTGTGATGGGAATGGTCTCCACGAGATACAGGTCCAGGGGAGACTTCAGCCAGACATGCCCCATGTTGTTGCTGATGCAGCCCAGAACCAGCAGGTTGAAGAGGAGATAGTCAACGCCTTCCTGAACCTGCCACAGTAACCATCACATGGTTTAATCTGCTCATTTCATTCAATGCATATATATTTGGGTCTTCTAGTTTGCAAATGCGCTCAAAGATACAGGGCCCTTATTCTCGAAACGTTTGTAGCCCTAAGAATTCTTAACTTTGATCATAGCCAATGTGTTAAGAATGGGCTTAAGAAGTTCATAGGGCTATGAATGTTTCGAGAATAGCTAGCCTGGACATTCACATAGGTGAATGTAGCTGACCTCATATGAAATGTCCAAGTGGAATATTCTAGGCTGGACTTGTCCAGGCTGCAGTGTATGATCCAGCAGTTTCTCTGCCACAGCTGTTGTGGACACACTTTTCTCATACAGATGTATGGACACTGATGTAGCAGGGACTCTGGGGTTCAGACGTTGCAGTGCCTCCACCTGACGCTTCTTGTACAAGGTCTTCCCAACACCAGCTCTCTTGGACTTGATCACTCGCACTGTGGAACTGCAAACAAAAATGTATGCTTTGTTCAAAGACACTACAAAATTAAATTGTCAACTTTATCTCTCATCAGTACAAACTAGGTTTTCAGAAGCATCTAACTAAATGCTTTGGTTCACATTGATTTGTTTAGCTCTAAATATGAATAAAAATGTATTTGTAAGGCTCAATATTTTGTAATGTAACTTGTTGTTGAGGTTGTTGTCATCATTAAGTAAAAAAATATCTGCAGAATGTTTACAAATGTTATTGTGTCATGAAGATGTATTTACTTATATCATAAGAAATATTGCATTTTTGTGAGGAGTTTGCAGTGATCAGATAGTAGGCTTTGCTCTTGTTTACTGCAAATCTGTCAGGATCTTGTATTAATGGAACATCTAACTTCAGGATTTCACCACAAAAATTTGCTAAACTGTTCATGATAACTAATATTCTTTAAGGGAATAATTGGCAAAAAAACCCAACTGAAACAGCTTTTGCAGATGAGTCTAAATTCAATTAGTTCAAGATAGACAAAGTCCATAACAATACAAACACTGGAACAGGGTAACTCTTGTAAATTTTACATGTTGTCACTTGTCAACAACATCTGGTATTTTGGGGATTACATTTTTAGAAAGTACAGATCCTACAATGTTTTGGGGTTAAATCCCATCTGTGATTTGAAACCACACTTTCAGAACATTTCCAAGTTCTACGAATGAGAAATATATGTCATTTCAAAATTACAACTGACTGCTTAATTATAATCTACACAGGTGGATTTTCCTCTTCTTTTCATATAAAAAATCTGTAAACCTATCTTAAATTCATTGACTAAATCTGAATTCAAATGGAGTGACAAATACCAGCTGATTGTGCTTTTAAATTTCTTAGATGTTGTTCCAACATTATACATAAATGGAAATTATGCATAAATGAAGAAATGTTAAAACTAATGTCATATTTTCATCATTCACACTATCATATATGATAAAGGTTCACTACTCTGTACCATGTACCCTATTTACCTTTAGTGAAACTATGAAATAAGGGCAGGGTTCTTAATACCTTTACATTTTCAGGTCTTCAGTGAAACTTCTTTGCTGTCATGTCACTTTATGGTATTTGTGAATGGCTAGAAGAAATCTGAATTACAAGTACTGCACTAATAATCTTACCTGCTGAAATCCAAATTTGAGGCTGGATTGTGATCTTGATCACATTCCACTTTTTGTGAAAACTTTAAGAGTAGATATGTTTTCACATCATGCAAGTTTTGCAGTGCAGGAGGTGGACATCTTTGTCTCTCTAGAGCTGCCACAATTCTTGCCTTGAATTCATTTTCCGTGGAACAAAGTATCACAAGTTGACAATCAAAATCTGAAAATATTTCAGTATATTGTAATACCTAGTCAAATACCTATCAAAAGGTTCATGAGTTTTGATGACCTGATTTCACCCTCAACCATCACCAATTCAATGTGACAATAGTACCCGTTGCAAACATATGAGGCATAACATGCACAAACTTTCTATTCCATACTATTGACAAATCATTCAATGAGTGAAAGACTTTTGAAATGACCTTTACCTTGACAGGACAAACGTAAATTTAGTTGTTAAAAAATATCTTCTATTTGAACACAAATGTTTTCTCAGTTTTTAAGAGCTATTTCATTCAGTCTCTGGTAATCTTGACCTCAAACAAAGATAGACAAGTGTTAATTGAGATGAAGGGTACTTAGTTTCATCAAATTTCAATGATATAAATATTCATGTGTGAACAAAGCCTTCATGATGCCTGTATAGTTCTCACAGTTAATTCAAGAACTTCCCAAATTGTTTCTCCATATATCATTTAAGAAACATTGAACATTTCTTACAAGTAAATATGAGAAAAACAGACTCTGACCTATCTGGATTGCTTTCAGTATATCTAACATGATGAATTTACTTGATTTTTCATCAAGTGAAATCTGTGTCAAAAAGGACCAATTTATCATGTCATTACACAATCTGCTATCCATATTTACATTGTCTTTACAAAGAAGGCATTTTCTCAAAATAAAGCGTACATATTTTACAAAAAAAGTAATTTTAAAAGAAAAAGATACTTCTTTCATTATATTTCATAACATCATAGGTACATAAAGCCTCACTGAGTGTAACAATCCAGTTCCCTGCTAAATTTGTAGACTGTGTGAGACTTGAAAGACGATAACATTTAATGCATGTCTTCAGACATTTTCAATATTGTACCTCTGTCCCTGCTTGAATACTCCTTGAGCTTTTTCTCTGCCCTCTCCTCAATCTCATACTGCAGCAGATCAGCATTGGCCATTGTATACAACTTGCCAGGGTTGCTAAAGAAAGCTCGTCGAAGGAAGATGTCAACCTAAGAACACAGCTACACATCTGATATTTGTTATTCAAACAGCATACTATTTTAAAGATACTTTTTGACACACGCATGCACAAGGACAAAATATAAATGTATTTCATGCAAAGTTTCCACACTCATCCTCATCAGACTTATAAGAAATTTTCTTTTGCAAGTGCCATACAATTTTTCATATTGTCTCACACTAATATAAAAAAAGAGCAAGACTAATGATGTAAACAAAATATGATGTCAACAGAAGGAGAAACATGACAAGTGCAATTTATACAGCCTGGCATTTTTAATCGAAGCTCGAGTCCCACAACTAATCCCATGTTCACCATATTTATTTTCAGTTTGAAATGAAATGGCTGAATAACAGTGAAAAGTTTAATCTTTCAGAACATAAGTTCACATAAAAAATTATTTGAAACACAGGACAAACTCAAACTGTCATAAACAATGGGATATATATGAATATATGACCTAATTTCTTTTACATTTTTAATTGAAAAACAATTTCACAAATGAAATTCCTTCAAAGTAACCTTGACATATGACACAAAGATAGTACAATACAGGCGTTAAATTAGTTATTCTTCATCTGTTTGACCAATGTTAATTTAACCCTGTCCTGCCTGAGAACCAAATCTCATTACATTATGAATAAAAAATGACCAAGTAATGGCCATCAAAAATTGTTCAATATGACTAGCCTGTTTTTCTTTATTATATTTGTAGGTTTCCTTTTTCCAGCAGATGTTTACATGTACATAAGTACGTGTAGATACATAATATTGTTCATATTGTATATGAACTACAACTAGTGCAAGTTTGAGTGTAACTGGTAATGTGCAAGGCATAAGTAATTTTTACATGAACAATTATTTCCCAGCAGGTGTTTACATGTATATAAGCATGCGTAGATACATAACATTGATCATATTGTATATAAACTACGACTAGTGCAGGTTTTACTGCAACTATTTTTACAATACCCATTATTTGCCAGCAGATGTTTACATGTACATGAGTATGCATAGATACATAATACTGTTCATATTGTATGTGAAATACAGCTAATGCAGGTTTGACATGCATGGCGCAAGTCATTTTTACACTACCAATTATTTCCCAGCAGATGTTTACATGTACACAAGAATGCATAGATACATAATATTAATAGTATTGTATAGGAAATAGAGCTAGTGCAAGTTTGACTGCATCTGGTCACATGCAAGGCATAAGTCATTTTTACATTACCTATTATTTCCCAGATGTTTACATGTACATAGGTATGTGTAGATACATAGTATTATTCATGTTGTATATGAAAAACGGCTAGTGCAGGTTCGACTGTATCTGAATACTGTAAACGTATTATATTTCGCGCAGGTTTTATTTTCGCGCTTTTCGCGCAAAACATTTTAGCGCGAAAATTAATACACCATACACATCATTCATTCAGTCTAGCCACGCTCGCCCCTGAGTTGTTACCATAACATATCAAGTTTGAAGACAGAAATCTACGGGAATCTTAAAATGACGACTGATAGTAGCATAAAGAATCACACTTAACTGCCACTGTAATGGATTTCCAAAAACATAATTAAATAATGAGCCAAATCCCATCGACGAATTAGCGAAAAGAGCAATGTGTGTTGTGGCGCCATGGAAATTGGTCACATGACAGATGGTTTGATACAAAACAGATTACCATGAAACGACTTCGGAAAGAAATAATACAGCAGTATTTTATTTATTCATTTAGATTTTATTGACCAGTACATCATGAGGCGAATAGTCACTTAACACTCAATCATCTCATTCACAACAACCCGGCTTGTTTGAAATCACAAAGAGCTTCATATACAGTAGAAGTTAATTCGTCAGATCATCAGAATTCGGAACATAAGACTGATGTGTTTTTCATCTCTTCCGTGAGTAAACGGATTACTGTGTACTAGTATATCGCACAGATAGGGATTTCCTGTGAGTAAGCAATTTACGCCGCCTGACAGGTTAAGCCACTCTGTTTGTTTTCACTGCTATTAGTGGCGGCCAAAGAGACAGCTGGCAGTTCTGGCAATTACTGATTGCGCGAATAATTGACCGCGCGATGTAGTCTAAACTGTCAATTCTGCGAAAATTGCACCACGCGAAAATAAGTACGTTTACAGTATGTATCTGGATTAGACCTCTTGAACAAATTCAGGTATCTTCTTCGGTGGTAACAAGCACATCAAGTTCCAGCTATATATTGGTCCAGTGGTTTCTAAGTAGAAGATGTTCCCAACAGATGCAGCTACATAAACAGTCCACAACATTTTGTCACCAGAATTTGTGCATAGAAGTATAGCTTTACCTGGTCAAAGGTAGTTTGTTGAGTGCACAGAAGGACCTCATCGGGTTGTGGAAGTGGCTGGTCCTCTGAGTGTTTGTACATATATACAACAGTGTTCAGCATGTCAGCTACAGAGGTATACAAAAAGGCAATATAAGCAAAGACTTTCACATTATGTAACATTACTAGCTTAGATGCAAGCATATTTATAGATATTTGAAGAATATATATTTCTGTCCTTCTGTCACTGCAAAGCTTTAATGATATGGCAATGTTATTTGTAATCTCATCCTATATATCTCACCTTCAGGGCAGACGATCAAGTTTGAAATTCCTGGTTTTAGCGGTGGTGGTATAGTCCTGTTAAATGTTCGCTCGTCTGGAAAAAATTTAATTAATTACTACATATAGGTACATTAGTTAATCTTTTTACAAGTTTTTGATGACCTAATTTCTTTTACATTTTTAATTGAAAAACAATTTCACAAATGAAATTCCTTCAAAGTAACCTTGACAAATGACATAAAGATAGTACAATACAGGCGTTAAATTAGTTATTCTTCATCTGTTTGACCAACAATGATATGTTTGTGGTAATTTAAATTGACATTTCTAGCCGAGAGAGACATTTACCCTTCAACTGAAATCAATCACTTTCACTTCATGCCAATGGTGATTTGAACTGCAGCTTGAGGTAGACAATCAAGCTATTATGCAGAGCTTTGAGATCATAAAAAATCAGTTATGTGATGGTTAGGATATTTATGTTTATAGGCATCAGGTTTGTGCACATTTGTTGAGTCACTGTTCTAAGGATTCTGACAAGTGTCAATAGCCATGGCAACTGCACTGCCAGTTTTGGAAGACATTTCTGTTTTTGATCTAATAGCCCAAAGTGACACTCCTATTTGTGTTCATCCCTCCTTTCTTGCAGTTTAATACATATTACAGACAGAGATTTTGATGGCTGTTTCCTGTGTAAAGCCATATCTATTTGTGTATTGTAAGCCCTAAGTACCTGCTTGAGCGAGCTGCCTGAGGATGATGCCAAGATGTTCCAGACTGAGATAATCTGCTACACTGGATGATACAGCTTCCAGGAACGTCTTCCAAACTGACCTCAAGTTCAAGGTCAAATCCTGCACAGTTGTCATATTCCTGTTTAACACATCAAACAAACTCTCAGGCAAAAATTTGAACAAATATCAGGTGGAAATCAAAGTGAAATAAGTGAACTAAAGTGCAATTCTCTCCTTACTATGGCACTCATTTTGTTTGTCATATGTTCAAACCATTGTACAAAGATAGTTCAAGGATTTAACCTTGCAACTGCCAAATGCAAAAGTTAATATTTACATGTCAGCTACTTTAGTTCATTAGTAGCGTTTGGTTTTCCAAGAAAGTGGACAACTTATTTATAAAGCTGTACTTTTCTTAAAGGTCACATGCAACGTAAAACACAACTTTGCAGATTCTGATACCTTTCGGTATGGACATACCGAAACAAATCGTCAAAAATGCAAATTCAACTTATGAAGTTGAAAAATAACGAGATGAAAAAAAAACGCGCGAAATCGGAGTTCAAACGTTTCACTAATTTTCCCCAAAATTTCTGGGGAAAACGGGTTTCAACAGCTGGGCTGCGCTCATAGCACGTGCACAGTGAAATAGGTTTGCGCAGCTTGGAAGCGGGTTGTCCGGTGAATACTCGGTGAAGGCTTTGGTGTGAGCTATTTTTCTAATGTTTTGTTGATATCTCACAGGCGCAAGCTTTTTATATGTTATGACAGTAAATTAACTGTTTATATATTTTCACCACACGTTCTTCTTACCGAGTCACTTTCTCAGTTCGATACTTAAAAGCAATGTCATTATTTAGCGTTGACAGAATTTCTAACTGTGATATAGATAATATGTTGTTGTCACAGACAAAACTCAATGTCTTGTTTTATTGACACCTGTGTGTCTGCCTGCCTGTCTGCTAATGACAATATTTAATACACAGCTGCTATCACTGACCACATGCAATTTGAACTTAACACCAATCAGGCTATACACCATAAACAAAATGCATTGATTTATGGCCCGAGTTCAGTCTCTGTCACATTATGTAATTACACAGACAGGCAGGTGTGGTAGTTGAACACATGACATGTTATGATGTCTGTTGATTGCAAAATGTTATACACAAAAAATGAGCATGTATTTACAAAACCCAACATCTCTACACATACACACACAATAAGCCGTGAGGGCATACGTAAATGAACCAGCCGTTACACTTGAGTGCACACCCACCCACTCTGACTGGGTTCGGTATCCCAGCTGCTTCGTTTCTTGGGAAGTAAACCGAAGTACACAATATTGCACTTTTGATTTGCGATTGTACGCTTATAATTTTGTTTATATGTTTTTTCATAACCAGCAATGTATATTATATGTCACGAATAAGTGATAATTGTGTTTTAATTATGTTTGATTTTTTTGTTGCATGTGACCTTTAACTTCCTTTGTATATGTTCACATTTACCACAACAGCAGATCCACCTAGCAATAGTTAGACTACAAGGTCACAAAACCCAGTACAATCTGTATCTTATGGTTGACTGGATCGGGAATTGTATTCATGGGCAAGAGAAAGATCTGGCACATTTTTCAGAGTTTCACAGCCCATGCATGCATTCAGACTCACTTGGTTTGATGCGAGATTCTTTTGACCCAGGAGGTTGCAATGGATGACACTGACTCTCCTCCCACCTGCCAGCCCATGAACAATGGATCAACCGAAGATTCTGTGCCTTCTTCTTCATTGGGGAAGTCATCTTCATGTTCCATACACCAAGCTAAACCTGAAAATATTAAATAGCATAAAGGAAGTATTAATTTTTCTCCTGTAATTTTTGGTGTAGCTATCTTGATTCAAAACACCATGTACACATCAGGTGGCTGCATAATGTTATCTGTTTGATGTAAGCAGACAGCGCAACATAAATCTAATGTTCTTTCATTGTTTCGGTAACAAAAATTCATTACCAGTTTGGTAAACAGTTTCTAAGATATTTTACACTCACATTATTATCAACTAGCAGTTTCTGCTAGTGCTTTCAAAATCAAAAGCAGCCCAGGCACTGCCACTTGTTCAATGTTTAAAGTGCTAATGTGAAAAACAATACTTCCTGACCTTAACTTCAATTAAGACAAGTTCTTAAAGTACAAGACTTGCTCAAGTCTCAGCATTGTACAAGTAAACTTGCAAATGGCAATCAGGTAATAAATGACAATATATATATTACAACCATGTTCAACCAAAAAAAAAAGATGACCTCAATCTATCATGGATGTAAAATGTAATTTTCTGAATAAAATTGATATTTCATACTTATCCTGACTCATGCTTATTTGCTTGTCTTCTTCCTCTTGAGAACATAGTCGAACACTTGTATCTCCTTATTGAAGCTCCCTTCAATAAAATGTACATAAAATCACTACTCACCAGAGTTATCTGTGTTTCCGGTTTTGGCGGGAAAAGTGGCGGCACTGTTTTCCCACGCTTCACTCTCTCCTGATAATGAGCCCGACACTTGAATTTGCAGGGAAATCCAAAGTGTCTAGTGGGGAGGTTGGAAGGGCTTACCTCATGAGTCAGGATAAGTATAAAATATCAATTTTAGTCAGAAAATTACATATTTTTCCTTATCCTGACTCATGCTTATTGCTTGTAGAATCCGTCGGATTTGGAGGCGGGAAAAATACTTTAGGATTTCGTGTAGTGATTTACGTCAATATATACCCCCCTATGGGAATTTCGTATTGGCACTGTGCTAATCTCTGCTGCTGTTTGTGACTCTGTCCTGTCAGCTGCCTTTTGATGGGGGGACCACAATTGTTAACTTTTGGTCCTTTCTTCTGTTAACATTTATATGTGGATTTTGATGCAAGCATCAAGTGGAGAAGCGACCCTTTCCTGTACGAGTAATCTTACAAGTACTGGGTCGTATCACTTATACTAGTCGTTAGACGTGCATTTAGACTTAAGCAGAACTCTGCTGAGTGTAGGCTTGGTAAGTCATGTGATAAAAGAGCAAGACTTCGTCTCAGCGTCTTTGAGGAACTGTCAACTGTTGTGCTACAACCAGTGGGCCGAAATGGTGAATGCCTGAGACGTCCTCGGTGGCGATATCTCCCAAGTAGTGATTTACAAACCCTATGTCTGATTTCCAGAAGCAGCCCTCCATTATCGTCTGTAACGAGCAATTCCCATGTAGAGCGAGTGTTGCACCAGAGCTCTAACTTCGTGTGGGTTGGAGGCTCTTGGAGGATCAAGTCCTGCTGCCTTGTAGGCCCGTAGTATGACAGTTCTGATCCAGATTGATATCGTAGTGCGGGAGACCTCCGTCTGTCTCACTGTCGATATCGGGACAAAAAGTCCGTTTCTGGCAGCATATGTCTCGAAGCTGCGCCACTTGTCGTCGTACAAGTTGCGTGTAGACTTGCGTAAAGCTAGTGTCACTGCTTTCGCTGCTCTGGCGGAGTACCCTCTCTTGTTCAAGCACGCCTTGATACAGTCCACCCATGTAGTTGGAATGTCCGTGGGTTGCCGTGCGCCTGCTTTGTGTGAGGATGTACGAGTAGATTCGACCACTCTGGTAGTTGTAGCTGTGGTGGTCCTAGTTCTTGTATGAGAATGGGGAACCACATTCTCGCTGGCCAGTAGGGCGCGACCAAAATCAGTTGGAGGTTCCTGGTCTGGCTGATTTTCTGCAACACCCTCGGTAGTAGAGCTGGCGGTGGACACGCGTATGCGTTTAGTCCTTCCCAGGATATGCTGAGAGTGTCCGTTGCCCACGCTCGTGGATCTGGTACTGGAGAGAAGAATGTTGTCAGCTGATTGTTGAAACATGTGGTGAAGAGGTCTATCAGCGGGGCTCCTATCTCCTTGATGATCTGTTTGAAGATCTCGGGATGTAGCATCCATTCCGTCGGAGATTGTTGAGTTGGACGGGAGAGTGCGTCTGCTATGACATTCCTGGCTCCTGGAATGTGGCATGCTCTTATGTGGATGTTCAGATCGTCGATTAGGTCGAACAGTTGAAAGCAGAGGTACAGCAGGTTCAATGATTATGTTGATCCTTGCTTGTTTATGTAGAACGCCACTTTGGAGTTGTCCATGTGTACCATGAGATGCGCATTCTGTAGAATGTTGCCCCAATGGAGTATGGCGTTGACGACTGCTTTCATTTCCAGCATGTTGATGTGCAGACTTTTCTCTTCCTTGGTCCATTTCCCGGCTGCCACATCGTTGTCGAGATGTGCTCCCCAACCTTGGAGTGACGCATACAGATGATTCTTGCACTCTGGCTCTGCTAGATAGATGCCTTTGCAGACATTCGCTCTCTGGGTTCACCATAGAAGATGAGGTCTGAGGTAGTCCGGGAGACCAAAGGGGTCTGGGTCGTCGAGATGAGCATTGATGAGGACCTCTAACGGGCGTAGGTGTAATCTCCCTCTGGCTGTCATGTCTTGTGCAGACGTGAGGAGACCCAACAGACTCTGCCACTGTCGTAGTGGCCACGGAGAGAGTAGGGCTTGTGGGATTGTCTGTTGAATCTTGAGCCATCGGTCCTCTGGTACGATGATGCGGTTCTGCGTCGTGAGAAATCTGATGCCTAGGAACTGCAGGTCCTGCGTAGGTTCTAGGTCCGACTTGAGTAGATTCACTAACCACCCCAGCTGTGTAAGCAGTTTGATGGTACAGTTCTGTAGTCTGAGATGCTTGGGATCTTGATGTATTTGAATCCCGTCGTTGAGGTAAAAGGCACTGCGTAGACCTCGATGATGTAGATGTATGACTATGGGTTTCGTCACCCTTGTAAACAACCAAAGGGCCCGATGATATTCCAAATGGCAGGACCTTCCATTGGTAATGTAGCCCGTCCAGTGTAAACCTGAGGTACTTCCTCAAGTCTGGATGTACAGGAATATGCAGGTAAGCGTCCTGTAGATCTATGCTGGCCATGTAGTCCATCGGACGGACGAGGTGGATTAGTTGAGGTAGATGTATCATGCGAAACTTGGGAGGTCTGCTCAGATAGTCTCTGTTGAACGTGCTCATATTGTAGATGAGTCAGAACTTTTCTTTGGAGTTTTTCTTGGGTACTAGGAAAACTGGTGAGTAGAAACCTGGCGTGATGTTGGTTTGATCTACGACCTCTATGGCTCGATTTACTAGTACAGATGAGACCTCCTCTCATAACTTCTCTATCTGATGCGTCTTGAAGTCGAACTTGTGAGGGTCGACTGTAAGCGGTGGAGCGGCCTGTAGTTGTATGTGATATCCGTTTCTTAGGATGTTGGATACAAACGGATCTTGAAGTATTCCCCAGTTTTCCCAGTGTAGCTGAAGGTGTCCACCCACTCGTGAAGGTTGTACAGGAACGGCTGGGGGTTCGATAATCCTTGGCACCTCTGGGTGCCCTGCCTCATCCGGACCTTGCTCTGTAGTTGCCGGCTGGGCGACGAAAGGAACTTTTTCCGCCTCTGGAGCTACCCACTTTCTTGTCCCATGCTCTCTGTATCCCAGGAAACTTGGACTTGCCCGAGTAGCGCTGGGATGTTTGCCTGATGACGCTGGCCAGAGTATCTATGGACTTGATCATAAGGACCTCCCTTGAGTCTTTGGTAACTTCCTTGGCAACCTCGTTGATTCCTCCAGCGAAGATGGAAGGAGTTGACCACAGGGCTGTGTAGAGTGACTTGATAAAGTGGTCACTCCAACTGCAGGAGGCGAGGAGACCTTGTCGACGTGCCAGTGTCAGTGCTGGAGATGGATGAGAGATGGTCTGTCATAAACTGTTGGTCCTTCTTCTGCATAAGGAGGGCCGAATATATCATCCTATCTTCTTCCGCAGTAGAGTCTCGGAATTTAGCGATGAGCGTTTCATTGACTGCCCTTGATCTGTTGAGGCCGAAGAACATGCGCCTGGTCATAGTTTCAACTTGTGCCAACTTTTTGTCTTCAATGTTGTAAGACTTGGCCTTGGCATCACTGATGACTTTGAAGTTCTCATCGATGTCCTGTGCCTTCAAGAATGGATCCATGTTGTGGAAGGAGAACTTTTTGGCGTTGAACTGTGGTAGATGCGGCGCCTGGGCTTTTGTGGCTGACTTGAAGGCTGCGTCCAGGTTCTCTGGGACCGCAGCGATGGGATCAATCGGAGGGAGAGTGATCGTGTCGACATCATCATCCTGCATGAGATAGGTGTGAGCCGGATTATCATCCTTAGATGGTGATGCCAAGTCTAGACCGTTGGCCATCCAGTAGCATATTTCAGCGTCCGAAAAGATGATCCCGCCGTCATCCTCAATGAGAGGAGTGTTGAATAAGGGACGTTGATCCTCCTCCGATGGTGATCAAGGTGGAGTCCTTCGCAACTGCGGTGACCTCGTGGAGACCTGCGTGGAGATCGGCTTGGAGATCAGTGTGGCGAGTGGCCTGGTGAACTGCGTCTCTAGGGTGACCTGCGCGGAGATGAGCGACTGTGGGTTCACGAATGGCTCGGCGAATCCCTCGACGATCTGCGTGATGTGGAAGATGTCTTGGATACTGTATCTGAAGTCCTTCGCGAATGCCTTCGAGAACGCTGATCATCTGATTCTGCATCTGGGGAATGGCGACTGGTCCTTCGCGAACGCTGGTCATCCGATTCTGTATCTCGGGATGGGCGATTCCTCCTTCGCGAATTCCTTCGCGAATGCTGATCGTCCGAATCCGTAGCAGGTGATGACCGAGTCGTCCTTCGCAAATGCCTTCGCGAATGCCTTCGCGGATGCTGATCGTCCGAGTCCGCCGCAGGGGATGGTTGAGTCGACCTTCGCACAGGCTGGTCCTGCAGTGTAGATCTGCTGCCAGATGTCACGTTGATGGAGGGCCCCTCAGAGACGACATCTGTGTTGGAGCCTTCGTGAAGGCTCGGGACCTCTTTGTGGGCTGGCTGTGACTTCTTCTCCAGGCCGTAACGCTGCTCCATCATCTCCATGATTTGTTGGTAGAACTGCTGCATAAAGTCCCCCTGGTTGAAGGTCTGCGGTGGAAGTAGCGCTGCCCTTTCTGCGGTGATAGCGACGTGGCCCACAGGACGCTCATCTGTTGTCAGCGTAGATACCTCGGGTTGCGTGGAGATCTGCGCTGAAGTCACCGTAGCTGAGACTGGTCTTTTTTGGGGATGAACCTCTGGGATGATGATCGGTTGATCATCGTAGAGTCCCTGTTCCGTCAACGGGACAATCTCGGCTGAGAAAGTCTGTGTTGTCTGCGCTGACTTCCCCGTGGTGGTGGACGACGCCCTGGGGGTGCGGAGTCTGCGCTGGGTGGTTGACGATTTCCGAGTCTTAGGCTGAGACGACAGGATGTCCGGAGTAGCAGGTCTCTTCTTGGAGGTGGCGGACTTCGTCCCACGCCTCTCCTCCGTGGGAAACTCCAGCGGAACACCAGACGGCAGGGGGTCGTCAGACAGCAGTTGACTGGTGAGGGACACCGCTGATTTATCCATGACTGGACCAACCAGTCTAAACCTATCTGCAGCACGTCTAAAGACGCAAAGAAGGTATTTATTAAATGCACAAGTAGTTAAATGCTTGCAATTAATGCAGCAGGAGCTGAAAGAACATGGTACCGTGCAGCTAGGGCACAATTGATGAGGGTCAGCAGCAGAGAAACGTAATCTACAATTGGAACAGTTTTTCATGAACGTAAACAACTGAACAAACACGGACCAACCCGTGCATAAACAGTGCTAAATACGATTAAATATGGAACCATATTGTTGAAAGATACTAGCTAAACCTCTATAAAGTATAATAGAGGTGTCTAACTAAATAATAAAAGGATATAGTGCCGTACAGGAGACACAGGCGCTCTCACACCCTGCTCACAGGGTGAAGAAGGAGAGAGTGAAGCATGGGAAAACAGTGGCGCCACTTTTCCCGCCAAAACCAGAAACAGAGATAACTCTGGTGAGTAGTGATTTTACGTACGTTTTATTGAAGGGAGCTTCAATAAGGAGATACAAGTGTTCCACTATGTTCGCAAGAGGAAGAAGACAAGCAAATAAGCATGAGTCAGGATAAGGAAAAATTGGATTGTATAGATACAAGCAAGTATGTTGCAGAGAAAACTATGCCTCAGTAACTAACTGCCATATTTGCAAGATAATATAATAATACAACTACCATTGAACATTTACCCAATGGTGACCTTGAAATATGTAAGTATGTAAACATTGACCCATGCCTAATCTTACCAAAAGCCTTGGCAAAGAAAGGCCCCATCAAAAGAAGACAAACTGATATACCAAGTTTGATGGCGACTGCTTAAAACGTTTTGAGAAAGTGTTATCCAATACTTTGAGTTGACTTAAAAAGAATTCCTAATGGTCCCGTGGAAGAGCCCGTAAAAGAATAATCTCTAACGTCAATTTGTAGTATTTCTTGAAAAAATGAGGAGGAGTACTGTCAAATATAAGATGCTATGATAATTGCCATGATTGCATTCAAACTACAGTTTAAAGCTAGATTTTTGTGTGTTTTTTTAAGAACATATTGCCCTTACATTTTTCTAAATTTAAAACAATCTAAAAAAATGTCTTGAGCAAATCTAGGCAACATAATGATCTTCATGAACTTTCAGCCCTAACAGTTAGTCATCTCTTAGACATCCCTCATACATCTTACACTATCAAGAACATGATCTATCATCAGTTTTCACACATTACAATTCTATCCACATGTGTGTAATACCAACCAGAATCAATATTTTCAGGGTTCACTTCTTCCAAGGCTTGTCTGGCCAGTTTTTCTGAGAAGTTACTGTTTTTCATAGCATCAATGAAAACTTGTTTAGTGTCAACATCTTGATGTGTCTCTGGTTCAATGTCTTCAGTCTCTGTCTCTTTTCTGTCTTTCTTGGCAAATACAACTTCTCTAGCAGTCTTCATAGCAAGGCCAAGATCAGACTCAGTACAATCAGGCTTGATCAGAGACAACATAGAGTACACATGAACAGAAGGTTCCTCATCTGTGCCCAGTTTGATGAGTTCTCTCTGAAGGAACACCAGCTGCTCAATGGTGTAGAAGTTCAGCTCCAAGTATTCATCCCTTTTGTCACTGACATAGTTCATCCATTCATCATGGAAGTCCTCAAACTCATTTGCAAGAGCTTGGATAAAGACATCAACATCCTCTTTCCCTCGATGTCCTTTTAAAGTTTCAAGATTTTCCCCTTCACCAAATTCCAAAAAGGTGCAAACATTCCTCTCATCTCCACACAAAAACTTCCCCTTCCAACAGTTGAACAAGACACATCCGTCTATGCACAGTCTGATATAGGTCTTTGCAAGACGCACTATGCCATCTAAAACCTGTAAGAAAAGCATACACATGATAGCATCTGATCATATGAACCCCCACTTTGGGTGACAAATATCTGAAAAGGAGGTGAGAAACTACTTGAGCCATCAAACATCAAATGCAAAATTATCAAAATTATTGCCCATTGGAAACTGCAAATAACACAATGTTAATTTCAGTCTTGGTCTGTCTCAACTTTACGTAAGTCTGTGACCCACAATACATTTGACCATCAATGTTTGTTTTGTTGTACCTAACATTGAATGAAATCACCTTGGGTTTTAATCTTGCAAATGGTCAAACATATGTAAAATGATTCCTGACTGTATAGACAATTCAACTCATTATAATGTTAAAATAAAAATAACACATATTATATATGTGCAATGACCATAAATCATGTACATCAGTATGCTATAAGGGTTTAACATCATGAATCACCAGGTCCATGATTGGCTACTCCACGTTGGTGACTTGAAGTCAGACTATGATGGACTACTTCTGTAATTACAATTTTGATAAGTTTGTTTTTCTCAGGTGAAACTCACTAAAGTCCATGTTGATACTTTATTGTTTCATAGTGTTAATATGGCCTTATCTAGCCTTTATTATCATCCCTGATAATCCACAAGTAGGATAGACATAACTTGTTTCAGTGGCAGTTAGAAGTTGGTGTGATGAACAACAAGGAGAGTTCTATGGATATACAACTTCTTTAATATAATATGAGCAACATTTCGGTGTAGCTACTAACATGGTTATCAAGCAAATGATCTTTCCTCCTCAGAACAGGTGCTAAGTCTTATGATGTGGTATTGGAACTTTGTTGTCCGTCATGGCCATAAATACATTGATGTCCATGATGCCAATCTTTGGCTGGTAATAGCGAGGCATTTCCTACATGTTTTCAGATGGCAATGCACCTGTTGACCATGCAAATGTCTTGAAAGCCTATGTGATAATTACATTCATATCAAGAAATGATAATCATAACCTCTTCACCTAAATATTATTGGAAATGTGAGGTGAAAATTAAAAAGAGCCATCTAAAATGTACTGACAATACCACCACCAACTATTGGCTGTTACAGCATTTCCTGACTACATGGCAAGACCTAATCTTGGAATACATTCTGTGGATTCACAATTCTTAGATGTCTGCCAGAAATCTTGATAATTAAAGTCATATTATTTAAATAGTACAAGCATTAATAAGGTGATTTTGCTGCAGTGACAATTTCAGAAACCACCTTGGAATAGACATACAAATTGCAGTATGTCTGTAGTTCGCACTCAGGAATGGCAGCTTTATTTTTTTAATAGTTTTTACAGATTTACACAAATTTAAGCATTTCAGGCAAATACTCTTGAAGTTGTTTTAAGTAAAAAATTTACAAATGCTGAAAATGCCAGTTTTCAGAGACAACTTTCACAACAAATTTCTCACCATGGTGAAGTGGTCCATATCTTCTTTCCCCTTTTCTGCCTGGCCAGCCACCAGCATGAGCCTGCTCTGGAGATCCACCAACTGGCTGTAGGTGTATCTTCGGGATAGATTTTGCTCTTTGTCTTGTGTAACATGTAGGCTGATGACATTGTTCAAGGCCTATCAGAAAAATGATAGGATGGTTGCAATGTGATGATCAAACAAAACCCTAATTAACTTTAATTTAAAAGAAGCAGATAAAATGTTACGGGACAAATCATTACAGACATCACAATAAATACTAATGGAACACTGGTATATAGAAAGGAGTATTATCTTACCAGAAGTGAACAGTTCTGTATGTCATCTAAGTTGCCAATTTTGTACATGCCCCTGTTGTTTATCTGTCCTGCCTGTGTCAAGGAGGTTACTTCAACAGATCCATGTGACTTCTTAACTTCCTTCAGCCAGTTCAAAAACCGACTGCATTCAGTCTACCACACACATGTAAAAAACATTGCAAGCCATTAGATCTACATTCATGGTTTATTACATCACATTTTATTACCATTCTTCTGTATCCTCTGCAGAAATACTGGCAATGAATCCTAAAAATCATAAAATACTAATAATAGTAACAAAGAGTTAAGTATTGGCTATATAGTATAGGTAGTTTGGAATATAGTCTTAGAGTTTAAATCAAGGTCACAAATCTTGGCTATATCTTGTCAAACCTACCAACTGATTTTTATCTGTAATTAGTGTCATTTCTTTCAATGGATTATTATCAAAATGGATTTTGCAATCTGGCAATAGTAAGCATGGTGGAAAAGAACAAGCTTTTTGTCCAACTAATTTGCATAATAGGTAATGGTGTCCATAAAAGGTCTGTGGAGTTCAAATGTGTTTTACTTTGAACTAGATCAGGATTATCTACAAAATATTCAAAATCAGTTTTGAAACATTAGATTAGATTTACATCACATTAGCTTTATTTCACATCAGTTAATCCTGTTATTGTGAAAAAAAAATCCTCAAACTTTGGTCAGCTATTTCAAAGATATAATATGCACAAAACTCATTTGTATCATTGACAGTCTAGGGTGGCTTTAGTCAGTAAAATGCCATTCATAGGATATGATTGACATGATTTACATAACATAACTTAAAGGTCACATGCAACGTAAAACACAACTTTGCAGATTCTGATACCTTTCGGTATGGACATACCGAAACAAATCGTCAAAAATGCAAATTCAACTTATGAAGTTGAAAAATAACGAGATGAAAAAAAACGCGCAAAATCGGAGTTCAAACGTTTCACTAATTTTCCCCAAAATTTCTGGGGAAAACGGGTTTCAACAGCTGGGCTGCGCTCATAGCACGTGCGCAAGTAAATAGGTTTGCGCAGCTTGGAAGCGGGTTGTCAGGTGAATACTCGGTGAAGGCTTTGGTGTGAGCTATTTTTCTAATGTTTTGTTGATATCTCACAGGCGCGAGCTTTTTATATGTTATGACAGAAAATTAACTGTTTATATAATTTCATTTGTCTATTTCACCATACGTTCTTCTTACCGAGACACTTTCTCAGTTCGATACTTAAAAGCAATGTCATTATTTAGCGTTGACAGAATTTCTAACTGTGATATAGATATGTCGTTGTCACAGACAAAACTCAATGTCTTGTTTTATTGACACCTGTGTGTGTGTCTGCCTGCCTGTCTGCTAATGACAATATTCAATACACAGCTGCTATCACTGACCACGTGCAATTTGAACTTAACACCAATCAGGCTATACACCATAAACAAAACGCATTGATTTATGGCACGAGTTCGGTCTCTGTCACTTTATGTAATTACACAGACAGGCAGGTGTGATACTTGAACACATGACATGTTATGATGTCTGTTGATTGCAAAATATTATACACAAAAAATGAGCATGTATTTACAAAACCCAACATCTCTATATATACACACACAATGAGCTGCGCGGCATGAGGGCGGCATCGGCAAATGAACCAGCCGTTACACTTGAGTGCACACCCACCCGCTCTGACTGGGTTCGGTATCCCGGCTGCTTCGTTTCGAGGGAGGTAAACCCAAGTACAAAATATTGCACTTTTGATTTGCGATTATACGCTTACAATTTTGTTTATATGTTTTTTCATAATCAGCAATGCATATTATATGTCATGAAGAAGCGATAATTGTGTTTTAATTATGTTTGGTTTTTGGTTGCATGTGACCTTTAATGTTTTTTTGTTTTGTTTGGGTTTAAAAAAAAGAGAAAAAGAAAAAAAAGCATTCAATTGCTTACTTTCAATCATTTTTGGTTTGCAAAAATGATAAATAGAACGTTTGATGTCCTTTCTTTGCATCAAATCAGTTATGGTGCTAGTAATTTCACATGTACTAATTTTTGCACATACTTTCATGACAAAATTAAAATACTGATGTAAAATATTCTTCATGAATATTTCAACTAGTTAGAATGTTACATTTACATTTGTTACAAATGTTACATTTAACTTCACATTGATCTAACGACGACATTCATATGTAAACTATTAATATACTAGTATGCTTGTATCAACAACAGACTGCATGAGTGTTTCCATGGTTTGGTGTACCTAAGTCATGTTAATACTGGGAATAGAGTGGAAATGTTAAATTATGACTTTTGGTTGTTGAATACCCACAAAATGGAAGGAGAGTATTAAAAGGTTTTAAAGTTCTGCAATGGAAACACAACAAAACTTTACTCAGAAATCCAAAACTACCAAAAGGCACTAGTTCACCACTAGACACAAACGGTGTGCCAAGTTTGGTGAAGAAACATTGAACACTTTTAAAGTTCTGCTCTGGAAAAGACAGATTTGCATGGATGAACAGATGGACAGATGGAGTTCAAAATAATACCAGACCACAAAAGGCATTGCAGGGAATAAAATATACACAATTTATAGACCTTTACTTTGGATTATGAATTTGCAATGATAAATGCAAAGTTTTATGGCTGCAGGGGTAACTATGTTATATGATGGTATGTTATGTTTCACAGTAACCTGCATGAAAACCTTTGACCACTTTTCAAAGCAGGGCTTCCTTTTAGAGAAAGTAAATAAAGCAAGTCTATTCACAGATGCATTGATGTGATGTAACCTTAAGCTGTTCATTGAACCCCTATATTTCAAACACTATTGATCATAATGGCATTAATCAGCTTATATTTACCTAGATCAATAACCACTGCATCAAAATATATTAACATTACAAATAACAATAAAAGCCTGATAAGAATTACCAATTTGTTTGGTAGTTCCTCATCAGATCTGAGTTCCTGCCAGACCAGTTCACAGTTCTTGAGGAAAGTATCATAATCAGCATTCTTTGGTGTGTTGAAGATCAGTGGAGCATATCCAGTGGTGGCAGAGTGGAAACAGTTGACTTTATGAATCTCCATCGGTTCCTCTCCAGCTGAGATGAAAGCCAGGTCCACAAACACCTTCAGTTCCTTCACGCCATCTGACATACAAACATCAATATGCAAAGTCACTTTGAAACAAAACCAATGGCAAATTAGTGGAAACTTTGGGAACTAGTCCCTGCTGAAGGTACACCAAAATAATGGTGAGGATCAACACATTCTGTGAAACATATATTTCAATAAATGATTTGATATTGTAAATATTGACTGTTTGGGGAAAAGGTTGAATAGAAGGTCTATACTATGGTATCACCCTAAAACTTTGTACTAGTTAAAGTAAGACTGTAATTATTTTATTGATAGATATTGAGCAGTTTTTAAGTTATGCTCCGGCAATGATATCCACACACTTTGAAGACCAAGTCCAAATTGTATCCATGGAAATCGAGAACAATAACAATGTCCTAAATCTGTAAGTGGCAAAAGGCCCCACTTACATTCTGTTTGATTTATGTACTAATTCTTGTCGAAAAATGTTGAACAGTTTTTTAGTTATGCTCTGGAAATCAAATTATTATGGACAGATGGATATACTGTTTTGGGATACTATGACTGCCGTTTTGTACACGGGTGCTCTTGTACCTGATACACGAGTTTTGCTTCCATTTCATTACAGATGTGTTTGTTTTGGTTTTAGAGGAAATTGTTGCAGTTTTGGAAGTTTATTTTCTTATTTTGGTGATTTTTGTTCTGTTTTGGTGTATATGAGTTCAGTTTTGAGGATTTGTTCACCATTTGTATGGTAAGCCTGCATATGCACTTCCATTCTGATGTCAATGACCTTCATTCACGACCATGCGCTGCCAGCTAAAATAACATTAAAAGCATATCTGGTGCAACGAAAGATTCATCACTGTAGCAAACAGTAAATGCAGTATTTCAAAGTCTTTTTCAAAGTGTGAACAACCTTTGACATAAAATTCATTCAAGAAAGGTCAGTGCTTATGTATTGTTAATCACATAAACTGTTTGTATATTCACAAATTGATAATGACCTTGATTTTTCAGAGGTCAGAGAATCTGCTGAAAATTCGAAAGATCTTGTCCATTATATATCTTTGAATTCAAAGAATATTGTTGGGAAGTCACAGCTCACCATGGTAACATAAACAAAGTGCTAGCTAGTGTATTGGTAGTCAAATTCTGACAAAACTTTAAAGCATAATTGATTACATGCTTAATTGATTACATGGGGCTGATTAACAATGTTGTCCTGTACATATTAAAGTAACAAGATTCATTTACCTTTCATGGATGCTCTGAGCCAATTCACCAGATGACTGCTATTCTCGAAGGCTTCAATACACCTTTGCTTTTGGGAATCATTCATGTCATGGAGTATGGAACAAGTCTCTAACACAGAGTCATCCATTGTGTTTATTGGGTGGTCTTTGCCACTTCCCTTGAAAATAAAATTAATAATTCAATTAATTCAGCTCATATCTTAAAATAGTAGTCATTAAAACTTCCCTAAAGAACAACTTAATGCTGTTGAATAAGTTTTTCACCAAAGGAGTTAAAACAGGTAAAATAGAATTTTCAAGAAAATTATACATGCATCTAAGTGGCAAAATGCATAGGGCTGATGTCATATATCTGCTGGAACAGAAGCTTGTTGCAAAATACATTTCAGAGATGTCAACCTAGAGATAATGATTTCTAATAGACCTTGATCATAATGTTTCCAAGTTGTACACAGTAAAAATGCCAGAACATAGTGGGTAGTGATGTCTGCAATAAGGCACTGAGAACTGAATGGCCATCTCCCACATGGAAAGTCATAAGTTGAACCATAGGTTTCAAACCCTTAGAATCACTAAATACAATTCAGATACAGTGAATCAAAAGACCCCAAAGAATTTCATCAGTAGCATAAGAGACTGTTCATAATCTATGGCTAGGTGTGTGTGTGTGTGTGTGTGTGCGCATGTGTGTGGGAGCGAGCGTGCATGCGTGCGTGTGTGGTTGTGGTAATGATGATGATGATCACTTTTACGGAGAAACATGTACAATGAGAAAGCCCCCATCAAATTTATGTACAAAGTAAGTGACCCCCCCTGCATGTCACATACAAAATCAATTACCCCACCATAATTGTTTAATATTTTCATGTACAAAATTGCTGCCCCCACCCCAGTACATGTGTACACAATTGTTGACCCCTCCCATAAAACAAAATGGGTGACCACCCCTTAAAATCATCATTCCTTCCCATATTTGTATAAGTCACAACTCCATAACATACCATTTGTTTCACAGCCTCAACTGGGGCAAAGTTTCCTTCAATAGAGTATATTTCCTTTATACTCATGATGATTTCAGCAGCCCTCTGACAACCCTGCAGAATCTCAAAGCTCTGGAGTTGCTTAATTCTCTTAGGAATCCAGTCTGAAGATCCATCACTCATAACCTGGAACTCTTTTGTTATTTTAATTTCATCACCTTGAAATATTCTCACATGTTCCTGTATGTTGTTGAATGTCTCTGTTCCATCCTGCATCTTCTTGCAGAGATTGCACCATCTCTGACTGGACTTCTGCCATACTTTCAAGACAGCTTCCTCAAACTTTGTTCCAGGGGCAATGCTTGCTCCTTCATGTCTCCACATTTCCCTAAAGATCAGACTTTCATTCAACCTCTCAAGTCGAGGAACCATTTCCATGATTTTCTCTGGGATTTCTGAGATACAAATGATTGGTTCATAGGAATCTAGGCTGTCTTCCCCAGCTTCACATTCTTGTTGTGGATGACACAGAGTACACAACACTTCAGTGTCAATCCTTTCTTCTATTTCTCTTACTCTGTTTGATAATTCATCTGTATTCACTGGATATGAAACATGAACATGTGTTTTAATACAGAGATAAATTATGAGATCACAAGTCTAAAAACATGACAAAAAGAACTCTAAAAACCCTTTAAGCATTCTAAAGGATGAGATTATGACTTCCCATAATTCATCTCACTTTATGGATAAAGGCTAATCAATGCTAACTCTGGAAAAAAATCAAGTCAAACTTACAAAGTTAATATGGTACAGGTGGAAAGGTAATACAAGCTGTACTTGACATGGTATCTTACGTCCATGTCAAAATGGTGAGATCTGATTGGTTTATGTGATCTAGACAAAGTACCAAGTATCTGGCATGGGAGGAAAACACATTTCTGAGCAAGAGAATACATCTATTTCACCCATACACAAAGAAGTGGCATGTGCAACATACCTCTTCACCCTGCTATGAAGTTTAAGCAACACTTCATGATGAGTCACATGATACAGTAAAGATAATATCAGCTAAATCGAACAGCTGTTTCTGTCAACTTTCAATTTGCTTTAATTTAATCATTGCATATTTTCACAATGGCAGATTGAAAATCTGTTGGCAAGATAAATTCAATTAACAGAAGCAGTAAAACCATCATAGACGGATCCACACACGCATGCATGCATGCACCCAACACACACCCAACACACACACACACACACACCACACACACAGAGTCCTGAAAGGTTATTAAATGACCATTGAAACTCTCATGACAACGGGTGAAAATGAACTGTGCCCCCACCCCCCAACCCCTTTTCTAAAAAAGCTGTATTAGCCCCTGACCATTGATATACTCCTCATGATACTGCTTCTACTGCTTCAAGAATGTGTTTTTCTTACCTTCAATGATATCAGTACACATGATGAGTAGGACATGAGCTCTTTTCAGATAGATCTGGCATGCTTGGAGTTCTTTCTCACGAACATTAAGAGTGTGTTCCATGCTGATGTGTAATTCATCTCCTTGCCTTGATGCTGCCCAAAGTTCAATAAAATTCTTCTTGTTGGAAAGAATCAGTTTCAGCAGCCACACTGAATTGTCTCCCTTTGACAAAGATGCTGCTATTTTGTCCAGCAAAGAGACAGCTTCCATCAGATGTTGTGAGCAGTCATACACCAACAAGTCGTAAGCGTCAGGATCACCAACTATATCACCAAATGAACAAAAATATATCATAAGAATTCTTTGACTTTAACTTGAGATAATTGTATATTAAAATTATCTGATTCTCAATCTTAATATAATAAATATGATACCTGATAGCTACTTGTCTGCAGTGACAAACTGTTCTTTTGTCCCAATGTTTCTATTCAAGAGATAACAAGCAGTTGTCACTAAAGTGACATCATCCCTCGCCGCATATTATCAAATCAAACTTAAAGAGTAATGAAAGTGAAGGTCGTAGTTTAAGATGAGGTTAACTGTCAACAAAAACATGACCAGTCAACCTCTCTTGATATTTTGCTCTGCTCTGTAGCTGTTCAAACACACAAATATTTTCAAGACTCACTTTGACCTTGACATGAATGTCATGATGTATGAAATATGCAAAAATTAGTAATAGAGAAATTGCTTATCAAACATGTGTTTGCCACTGATATGGCAATGTCCCTTGCCGCTAAAGAATGGAATATCTATATTTACTATTTTTTACTTTTTGGTCACATACAAGATGCCTGAAATGACTGGTGTCTGCATAATCACCCAAGGTAGGCTGTCAACATACTTGAAAACATTGGGTGCAATGTTTTATGAGATATCACGTTTAAATAGGTTTGAAAAGTGGTCAAAGTGTCGTGGTGACCTTGAAGATAAGGTCAAGATCACCCAAATCAAATGGTGTCTGGGTAATCCCCCAATGTAGGCTGTCACCACATTTGAAGATATTGGATACAACAATGCATGAGATATCACATTAACAACATTTTGAAAAGTGGTCAAAGTGTCATGGTGACCTTGAAAAAAGGTCAAGGTCACCCAAACCAACTGGTGTCTGCATAATCCCCCAATGTAGCCCGTCACCAAATTTGAAGACATTGGGTAAAACAGTTCATGAGATATCGCGTTAACAAGAATCGGGACATACGTACGCCGCTGAATACATAGTCCCCCGTTCCATGTTGCAGCGGGGCACAAAAATACATTCAAGAGAAGTCTTGAAATCTATGAAGAAAACCCAGTGAATTCTTCTTGAGATATCTTGCTGACAATCTTAACATACTGAAATCTTCAAAGTGTCGCTGTGACCTTGAAAATTACGTACGGGTCACCAAACTCAACTGAGCCCTGCGCCCTCCCTATATGAAGCTTGGTGTCAAATATGAAGAAAATCCAGTGATTGGCTCTTGAGGTATCGTGCTGACAAGCTTAACATGCAGCTTAACATGCTGAAATCTTCAAAGTGTCGCTGTGCCCTTGAAAATGTCATGAAGGTCACCAATATCCACTGGGCCCTGCGCCTTCACTATATGAAGCTTGCTGTCAAACATGAAGAAAATCCAGTGATTGGCTCTTCAGATATCTCGCTGACAAGCTTAACATGCAGGCTAACATGCTGAAATCTTCAAAGTATCGTCGTGACCTCAAAAACAATTGGAAGGTCACCAAAATCCACTGGGCCCTGCACCTTTCCTATATGAAGCTTGGTATCAAATATGAAGAAAATCCAGTGAACGGTTCTTGGGATATCTTGCTGACAAGGGTAAAACGTTAAAGTCCCCTGGTGACCTTGAAATGAAGGTCAAGGTCACCAAACCTGTGTGGGACCTTTCTTATACTGTGATGAACTGATATACCAAGTATAAAGAGAATCCAGTCAATGGTTCTTAAGATATTCCAATTTGTACGTACTGACAGACGGAGCCTAATACTATATCCCCCGCTTCGCGCTAAACGTGGGGGATAATTAAAGCAATAGTGTCATAGAGTTGTAGCTCACCAGAATACAGTCATCAATTGAAATAGGCAACAATAGTCACTGTCAGCAATGCTATTAAAATATTTTATCCTGTCTTAATACCAAGGAAAAATCATGAGCAATTGCGATATATGTGAGTAAATTTCTACGTTTTTAATTCTTCAAAAATAATGCATAGTCATATAATACAATGTACATGATGTACAACTGTTACATTTGCTCATGACAAAGTTTTAAACCTGAGCCATACATTGAGAAGAATGTTTTTTCTCTAATGCCTGGCAACCTTTTCACAAAAACACACTAACATGCTTAGATTTGAAAGATATTTGATGTCTGGATCAAGAAACTATAGACAGATACATGTTCGTATTCATCAATCTGGCAATTTCATAGAGTAAAAATGCATTATAGAGAAAAAAAGATGATCAGTAAACAAAGTATGGTTATCATTGTGTAGAATTTTAGGAATACAAACCACTATAACATCATTGCCATATTGCAAGAATTTTGTCCTTACGTAATAGCGGTAGGGTATTCAAAAGAATTATCAGTGTTATCATTTAATAGTGCAGCATCAAAGAAATGAACAAAAATATGCTGTAAAAGAGGTATGGTAATAAAAAGAATTTTGACAATTTATTATTGGACTCGGCAATATTCCTAATATATGATAAAGGATTCAGGACCAGACTTAAGTACACTATCATTTTATACCTGGATACAAAACCTAACATAAAATAGATAATCTCATTTTATACTCATGTTGACATACAGAAACTATTCAAATCAAATGCACCTGTAATAACACTTAAACTTATGTCTTACATTATCTTTTATATCTTAAAAAAGTCTTTATGTTACAATCAAATGGCATAGATTTTCACATATAAACAGTAGTAGAAATTTAAAAGATATAATTGTATATTTTTCATTATAGAGATCAAGTTTTCAAATATTACGAATGATCTGTCTGCAAGGCATGCATGTGAAGTTCAACTTCATAGGTCATCAGGTTTATCAGAAGATAAAGTTTTCAGTACCAGAAAATGCATTTTGAGAAAGTAGTACCTGTCACAAACTTATCCAATTCAAAGGGACAAGACTAGACAGGTTTGCACTGTCAGTACTTTGCCTTTTGGTAACTATAACATGTGTCATCATATACTTTCTGTGCCCACTGCAGCCTCGTTCACTTGCTGATTCCTATCCATGGGTATGTCATTTTGTCTACGGTTGTCTCTGACAAATCATTTCAGGTGTATATACTTTACAAATTCCAGTTATGCTGTTAGTTGTTTAGTTTTTTGTTTTGTTTTGTTTTTATTTTTTTATTGATTCCCAAGATAATATTATCACAGATATATAGAGCCCTGATACATACGGCTTAAAGTAATATGGCTTATGTTGTTAGTTGTTTAGTGATACTGTCATTCAAACCCTCACATTCATAAAATTGTTTAGAACATTTGTTACAACAATGGAAGGGCAACATGTGACTTCTATAATCTACCATGATTATTACAATGGGTTCCAGATTAGGAATAAAGATAAGCATGGCATATGAGGCAAAATAACAGTGAAACGATGTTATATTCTTTTCTTCTAAAGTTGATTCCATTTTGTTTGTGTTTGTAATAGTTTTCTGAAAACTATCCACTGAGATGCATAACCTTGTCAGGAGGTTTACAGCAATGAGGGGAAGACAGTAGAAGACATTTTTAAAGAAACTACCAGTATGACTAAAATTTATTATGGTGATGTCATGCCTAAACTCTTTCATTAAATAAATTTTATATATTTTTGTAAAATCAAATAAAATCTGAAATTCAAAGTCGAATTATGCTCATGAACATTTTTAGACAGTTTTAACACATTTGGTTTGGAAAAACTTTTATTTAACTGACATAAACAACTATGATGCCCACTATATTGCAGCATGTTAAATCCTTGTCAATGTTTTTAGAGTTTTAGACCTTATGGTGTCAGAGAAAGAGTAAATTACTAAAGATTTAAAAACAATATTTTGAAGACAATCAAAACAATGCAAACATTAACACCATGATCTATGTATCAAATGATCAAAATATGGTTCAGACTAAAACCTTCAGCCTACACCTACAAGTAAAACCTTGATTGATACGATAAATGACAAAAGAGCATGCCTTGCTCTGAGGTCACTCTTACCAGGTAAGCAAATGGTGATCTGCTTACTTTATAATGACTTACTGAAACGACTGAAGTAACTGATCAAGGGTCTCCAAGTAACGATGTGAAGAATCAATTTCTCCTCATCTGCATTTTCTGGCCAGTACATTTGGAGATGTTTAGAAACCATTTCGCAGAATGCCTTATCCATCTGGCTATTCCTTGCAAACTGGTCGTCTTTCTGCATAGTGAAATTCACATAAAAAATTATCAATCTATTGAAATAAATCAAACAAAGTTAACATTGATCTTGTGGCATAAAACCTCCAGCTAACATAATTAAAAACCTAAATTGCACTGGAGCAGTGTGAGGTATTAATTCACAAACGATTATTACTGAACAAAATTCATGTTCTTTCTATTTTTCACTGGTAGTGACAGCTTTTTATAAGCATTAAGTTTCATAGCTTCCAGAGTGTCAGCTAGCAAAGTGTTCTTTAAGATAGAAAATATAAATCAAAACACACAAAAAAGAGAAAAAAAGATAAGAACAAAGAACAGGCATCACGTCTTATAAATAACATGTATCATGTATATCTGATGACAAGGCTACGCCAACAGGTCTGTCAACAACTGGGATACCCCTATCCAAACATAAAATGTCTATTTTCATACAATTCTAGACCATAAAGCACCGTTTGATGGTGATGTTTGGGTCGTAGGGTACGAAATATACTTACCTTACACAATTTCGAACTGTCGTCCTTTACAAAACAAATCTCATTGGCCTCAAAATCATGAATGCAAAGGAACATGATACATGTACCTCTCTATTCGACATTGGTTGACATTGGTCTTCATATCAATAAGGCCTTCATATCAATATATCATAGAACAAGGCCCTATTTGCACATCCGAACAAGGCCCTATTTGTAAACACAACTTTAATTTTTTTGAAGGGGGCACGGTTTGTGAGGTTGGACAAGAAATGTATCTAATGCACCACTCAACATTGAAATGAGTCCTACTCTAAAACATGAACATTATTTTATCAAGGATTACATCACATTCTCCCACCTAGACTGTTAATGAAATATGTTTAAAACACAGCAGTTCAGACTTTATTATTACTGCATATGTTGAAATAAGTAATTCTATGAATATTTGCTCACTCACCCCTCAAAAGAAAATACATACATGCCGGTTATATGATCGACCCCTTAATAAGTAATACAGATCTGAAATTTGTGCAGAACATTTGTGATATTAGGAAAGTGTTGTATTTAATTATGTCAAAGAATTGTAAAAATGCTTGTCTTACCATAAATCGATAAATGTTACTGGGAATGTCAATGATTTTGCATCATTGTATGCTTTGATCATTTGAAAAGTTAACACATTTTGTCTTCTAACAAATGACAAGAAGCCCATCGAACAATTGTCGGTAATGTAATATAGTAAATCATGAAATATGTTTTATCATTTATTCATGCAAGAATAATCTTAAAACATATCTTTTCTAAATACATCTAACATATATTGTTATATTTCATGGAATACTGAGGAAGTACAAATTATGTTTGCTGCTTTATATACAGGCTTTGAATAGCACTCGATTATCAGACTGTAGAGACCATTCCAATAACAGTTGTGACAAATGTTACCTTGTTGACTGATTTGGAATTTGGGGCTGTATTTTGTGATTGTTAGAATTTAGGTACATTGACGTCAATTCGTTCTTTACGAATACTTCCTGACTTGTTGGCATGTACAGACACAATACTGCCATACATGATGCAAATACTGGCCCACTGATCCAAGAACCCTTTCCTTGTTCCTGTTGCTGAACTTTGCATAATTTACCATGCAGTAAGTAAACAATTAGTGAAGACATATTATGAGCATGTCTTTCACAGAATCATTATAATCAAGGGAAGCCAAAAGTTAGCTGGCGTGATAGCTGATTGGCAATGACAAATGGAAGCTAACACTTAAGAGTAAAAAGAGCTGATATAGTCAGCGCCAGTTAACAATTGACTTCCCTTGCTCAGCCTCCATCTTTGTGGTTTTATTACTTTTGTTGGTCTTACATGTACATATATATGCCCTCTGCCTCATAGGATTCATTCACCTGCTGTATCGATGCCAATAATAAAAGCATGACATTATTGGTCTAAATACATTTTTACCTTCATCAGAAGCTCAAATGATCTGAATGCAGCTGAAGTCATCCTTTCTTGAAGAAGTCTGTGAACTGGCTTGTCTATTTGGCTTCTGTGAAGGTTCAGACAAGTCTCTGGACATACCTGTGAGTATACACATCTGTATAGTATCATCATAGCAGAGCAGAAAAGTGAGGTAGACCAATCAAGTGAAGATGCTCTATCAGATGTCAGCACAAAAAGACAAAGGAACACAATTTGGTTTAAAAGCCATAAATGTACTGACATTTCTAAACAGAATGGATGTTTATCCAATATTAAATATTGTGAGACAGTTGATCTTGAGTAAAATGTGCTAAGTGTTGATTAACATATTTTGGCTGGGGTGATTGTTGTGTTCAACAGTAATCAATTTAACAGACTTGTACAGCAAACAACTGCATCCACAAATGGTGAAATTTATTCCAAAACCTCTTTTCAGGTGCACACTGAAATCATATTAATGGGTTTCTTAAAAATGGGATCCAAAAATATCCCAAGCCTCTGCATCAAATTCATGGGATGGCCACCTAGGTCTGTCTGCCATTTTCCTGGTGAGAGCATGAACCATTGTCTGAGATGACCTCTGGTAAACACCATCTAGTGAAGAGGTTGGTTAGAATGTCTGTGACAGTTCCAGTAGCAGAAATTACAGTACACTTTGGGAGTAGGTCATGCAAACTCTTGTCGTGGGTGAACATGAACTTCACCAAAATTGTCTACTTGCAATTGGTCATATGGTTCTTTAGTTCAAGTAACAGGCACAGGTTTAGAAGGTTTATCACTGATGACACAAGGTTCACAGTCTTTGGTAAGCTGTTCAACTCGACAGTCAAAACCAGGCACTTAACCTCCTTCTCAACATGTTTGCTTTGTCTTTACTGGTTTTCAGCTTCATTATTTGCTAAAGGTTTGTTTCTCAATCAAAAAGTCATGAGTTCCAAACTGACATGAAGCAGTCGGCTCACTCGGCCCAAGAACTGACCAGTTCCCTTCCCTTGCCACTGTTCTGTGTAATGAAAATGTCAATGCCCCAGTATTACACTTCTTTGTTGAGCAATATGCTTCTCTAAAGCTCCAACTACATCCTCATAACTGTATGTATCTCATAAATGAGATGAGCGGAGTACCTGCTCAACCCCAGGGTGTTTCGAATGAGCGGCATTATCCTGCTAGTGGTCGTCCCAACACAGACAGTTGGAATACAGGACTCGTTCTCTGTTTTGACAATATAGATGTGAGCATATATAGACAGTTTTTGACAACAATGGACAGGCGACGACTCAACAATGGACAGATAGAAAAACAATAGCACTTCCTTGACCAGTTGATGTGATGGGAGACACGGTCAAGTGGGATGACCAATTAAGGCTATAAATGTCATATACAATAATTAATTGCCTGACAAGTCAATGTAAAATGCGGAAGTGATAAGGATTACATAGAATACAGATTAGCATCATATAAATAATTAAATGAAGTCTCATATGTCTTGAGTACATAGTTTTAACTTTTTAAATATTTGGACGATGACTGTCCATAATTAGTCTCTATGACAGCACAACCACAGATACAGAAATGTACAGCTAATTCCACACCTCTACGTATAACCAAGGGACTGGGGTCCAATAGGATCCATACAAGTCAAACCAGTCATTCTAGGACTGTTAATTACACATTGCCAACAAAGGTAAAACCAATTACACATTTCCTAATGAATGTATTAAAAATATACCAATGTCAATTCTAAAAGGCAACTATTAATGACAGTCAATGTGAAACAAAATCAACAATAAGAAGTTGACCTGAGCATAATAGCACACCGCCATAACAAATAATACTTATAAGGTCAGAAATCCCCCTTTAACCCCCTGGGTGCCACAGGGACATATATGTCCCTCCTCCTCAACTCTTACTTTGAAGTCCAATAAAATTCTAAATATATCTCACACACAAATATACTTCCCAGTTTCAAATTCTGCAGGAAATTCCCTGTTTCTTGATACCATCCACTATTATCTCAGATAAAGCTAAAGTGTTGTAGAAGACCTTTCAAAATAGACTTCATCGTAAATGTTATTGCGATTCACAGCTTTATTTGCTCTATGTTTTGAAGTGTAAAAATCGGATAATTACTGGGAGTATTGAATTTCAACAAGAAGACAAAGTCATCAATATCCCCCGCAATGGCAAACTACTCTTCATGATTATGTCTATGAGTTATGATTATGTCAAATATTTTGGTGTGTATATAGAAAAGTGGGAGGAGAGTATTGAAAGGTTTTTAAAGTTCTGCTCCAGAAAGGAGCACTATCACCAATTTCAGTCTAAGTCAAACTTGTTGCCATGGAAATGCCAAAAATATTTTATTCAGAATTCCAAAACTACCAAAAGGCACCAGTACACCACCAGTACACCACCAGTACAATCTATGTGCCAAGTTTGGTGAAGAAACATTGAACGGTTTTAGAGTTCTACTCCAGAAAAGAGCACTACCACCAATTTCAGTTTTAGTCAAACTTGTTGCCATGGAAATGCCAAAAATTCCAAAACTACCAAAAGGCACCAGTACACCACCAGATCTATCACAAGAAAAAAAATGGTGATTTCCAAAAAATTCCAAAATTGGAAAGATGACGTTTCCAAGGCTTGGAAATTTTGGGAAATTTAGGAAGGATTTTACCACTACTTCTTTCAATTTCTCTTTTTTCCCATGGGTGTATAGACTGAACTATTTCACGAATCTTTTGATCTGTTAGAGTTCTTATTGTTGATATACATAATGTATCTTGCATGTGACATATTTATTCATGAAAACTGCAGGAATAAGCCATATTTTCGTATTATCCCTTTGTGCTTGATATCAATGCAACTGCTTCTCACATGAAGTGATACATTTTTTTAAGTTGGGATTATGTTTAGAGTAAGTGTTTGCTATTCGCCGTCCTATGCGACCAACTAGGAACCAATTCTATATATTAGTTAAACTTCACTCATCTGCATTCTTCTTGTTCTATGTGTCAAAAATTGATATTGACTGTTCTATTTACCGCTAGTATGGCGAGCATTTTCAAAAGTCAGTTTCAAGTGTATGTTTTAGTTGTTATCCACAAAAGCGCAGATATGTTTAATTTTTTCCCCTTCTCAATGTTCGTATGAATACAAATTCCATACACCTATGCTATAAGGACTATGTAACAGTGTACCAGACATACTGACTGACTGAGTGTATTACATGCCATAAAAGTGAACCCGTGCCATGGCGTAATGGGGTATTCCCGTGAAGTAGGATTTTGTTATTACAGTATAATCTCGTTCATGTTGCGTTGGTGTTGTTATACGGGATTAAGACACTGGGTGCTATAAAATTCTGAACTTGTTTTGAAATATGATCGAATTTACTGAGTTAATTTACTGAGTTTAGCTCACTGAGATTATAATTATACTGATTCATGTCCTCACTCAACGTCTATGGGGATGATACGTTCTACGTCTCGCCAAAGTTATTGATTAACCTACTAATCTACTAATATCTAACAAAGTGCTAGAGTTTTGGGTGACCTTCCTTGGGTCAGTAATAAGTTGAAATAGGTCATACATGATTTGACATTATGTATCTTATTATTACTTGGGTTGTTGGCATGGCAGATTTAAGAAGATCGTTGAAAAGGCCCTCCAAATGATAGTTGAGATATATTTCACATGATATGTTTCATCTTGTGAGGATTAATTGTGGCAACACCAAATATATTATGTCATGAAAATGGCAAATATCAGTTTAGGCTTATTTAATTTCTTTAGACCTTCAACTTTTCGTATCAACCTTGTGCCTGCTAAAACATTAACTGGCCTTTGTTCGAGATCACCAGGTCTTGGAGGTAATCACCCTATGTTTTTACAATTCTGCTTCATGGGAACTAACCGTAGTAGAATACATTCTCCACCTGTCACAAGGGAGAGGCCATTTGAGTTTGTGCTCAATAACGGTGTTATGCAATTGGCGTATTCACGAAAATCTCAAGAACTTGTCAATAGAAAATTGATTGTGTTGTCCAAAAATGTGCGGATTGAAGCAAATACTCAAATGAATTCCCTTTTTACTGAATCATAAGTGTATCTAGATTAATTTGATCATTTACAAGAAGCACACAGATGACAATATTCAATACACAAGTTCGATCACTGACCACATGCAATTTGAACTTAACACCTATCAGGCTATACACCATAAACAAAACGCATTGATTTATGGCCCGAGTTCAGTCTCTGTCACATTATGTAATTACACAGACAGGCACGTGTGATACTTGTACACATGACATGTTATGATGTCTGTTGATTGCAAATTGTTATACACAAGAAAATGAGCATGTATTTACGGTTCATTGCCGGGAAGGCTAAAATCGTGACACTTCTCGGTTTAATGAGCGTAGCCTTCGCGGTACTTGCAATGTAATGTTATGGTTAAATGAACACGGGGCCCCTCACTCGGAGGCTCTGACAAATTACAAAGAAAACAGGATTAACGTGGACGCTCCTTAATTTGGGCACACACAAAAATATTAATACAGCTATACGTTTTCATTTTCAGTATACATTTTCTTGAATTCGACATTAAATTGTCATTATCCATAGTAAATCACATTTCTGTCAATCTACGTCGAGTTTAAGACAATTTGAGAAGTTCAGACACATGGTCTGTGTAGGTGATGTCCCCGATGATGTTGTTCACAAGACCCTTCAGGATTAAGTTAACTCTAACCTGCGCACCTGCCATCACGAATATGTGTATGATAGTTCGGTGTCACTTTGCAACTTAAATATTATAGCAATGTTTTTCGAATTAAATACATCTGAAATAAACAAGCGAAGAAGATAAAGATTCCTGCTACATATTGAAGTTGGAAGATACCATAATGTACCTAGGGAAGAAATAATATGTGTCCATTGTTTATCTTTAAATCTTAATCGAATAGAAGACTGGTTCAAGTCTTAATAAAGTATATGTTCTATTCTGTTCTGATAAATACTCTATTATAACAATGTTTTGAAAAGAAATGTATCTACTCCTGGCATGGATTATGCTTCCCGGCACCGTATCTTTA